CAAGCGCGGCGCGGAGATCCCAGACTTTGATTTTACCATCGTAAGCGCCACTGACGATTCGCTTACTGTCGAAGCGGATGCAACGCACTAACTCTTCGTGGCCTTCGAGAATTCGTAGACAACTTCCCGTCTCGATGTCCCATAACCTGCAGATCGAATAAGTACGGATTGACGAGGACAGTAGATCAATCACGCGTGAAGCAGCTTAAAATAAATTACTGCAGTTACCCGGATTCACCCCGGCAAAAAAAAAAAAATTTAAAAAGTGCGTAAAGGCGCTGACGGTTATATTTGAAGCCACGAGTGGTTGGTTACACAATAGGTGGGCCGCGAGTTGAGAACGATACTCGCCATTGACAGTTTGGAAAGCCCCAAAATTCTCGTGTCTTTGTCTCTGCCACAAATACTGTATAGGAATAAAGGCATTGATACCCCAGAAATGAACGAATCGAGAGGATGATCAGATCTCAGGTGAATCAATTTTTTTCAGCAGATTCCTGTACATGTTTATACTGTTTAATTTCCTCTCTGTATTACTCCAATTTGGTGTAGAACTACCATTTCTGTTCCCGAGCCGGTTTCTACGCAGACAATTTTGAGGAATGTAATCTACTAATTTCGCACATACTGTATTTTCAACAAAAATAACACGGGGTATCAGAAAGACGTAGATCGATTCAACGTCAGCGGTTTCTACTGAAGAGCTCAAGCACTAAGAAACAACCTTCTATAAAAAAAAGCTTGAAATTCGGTACAATTCTATTCAATGTATGCATCTCAAAAAATGTCAAAATGTTCTGTTACTCTGGGGACACTGCATACCAAAATACGGAATCGTATGTATATAACGAGATTCTCAAAATATTTTCCCGACACGGGTGGTTTATACTGTACCACACTACATTTTTTCCAATGACGCAGTGGAGAAGGAGAATGAAGGTAGAGTAAAATCTGCAACACATTTTGTTATAACGAATTTTTGCTCGTTTTAAAGCCCAGCCCAATACCCATAATGAACAATATTATCTGAGTTTCTCTATACGGTAACGCTTTTTTTTTTAGTTTGATGAAGCTGTTCTACAGGTTCCAATGGGTTCGTTGTAATGATATTCTAATGTAGAGGTGCTAACGAAGCATCGAACAAAGGCTTTCAAAGCATCTCGCGAAAGATTCAGCTGACAAATTCTGCATCATTTTCGAGATGCTTTGGAACATCCAGTGATTTCGTCCATAGTTCGTTCGAATTTTTCAGGCTTCTTAAATCATTTCACAGAAACGAACTTCAATTGGAACCAAGAACTTGGCGGCACAAAAATAAATAAAGAAGCCTCCCTATATTCTTGCTTTCTCTCTGAAAATATACCAATTTAAACTAGGACGCTGGTCCCGGCTGCAGCCCGGCTGATTATCTGGTTTTATTTACAATCCTTTCGTTTCGATTCATACTCAGTATAAATTCCTTGATCCTTCTTTTTTCATCGGAAGGAAAATTCTAATTTTCTTTCCTTGTCTGAAAGCAGTGTAAAAATCTCTTTCTGACAGACCTCTCGAAGTCAAATTTGAAGGGACAGAAATATTCGAATTTTTGTGGTTTTAAGTCCAGGAGGTTAGAGAAACTAGTGCTGATAGTACTTGAGACTTGAAAAAAAAAATTCGAGTTAGGCAAGTTCAACAGCATTTCATTTTTGAATCGGTCTCCTTTCTTTAATTGGAAAATCTTCAACACTCGCTGCGAAAGTTCAGTCACAAAATTCAAGTTTGGAATCTGCCAGCTTTTCTTCCAATTCATCAAATCTTTTGATACAGTAGAATCTTGTTATAAAGAATTAATGCTTACGAGTTAGTTTTTTGGTCCCTGTCCAATAGCCACAGTGTGATTTTAAATTCTTTTTCACGAATTCCCATTCATAACGAGGATTCTTTCAAGGTCTCAAATCCTTCGTTGTAACGTGATTCTACTGCATTTTTAACTACGGTACACTAATAACGTCATTTGATCCACTACCGAGAATTCATAAAATATTTCTCCAGATTCCAGAATGAAAATTGGAACTTCACTGTCAAACATGAATCATATTTTTATAAACCAAATCGTTACGACAGCTCCCGAAATAACATACAATATTCTTTTTTTTTAAACAGTCCCAGCTTAACTTAGTAGACCGAAGCAAGCTCTCAAATTACTAGCTATGCGTAAATTTGCTGATGCCACCTAACTCAGATTACACTGTAATAAACAGATACAGCAATTAACGACGCCTGAAGCCTCAAAACTTGGACGAACGCCTACTTCAACTAGACCTACACAATCAAATTCTTATCAACCCCCTTCAGCAAAACTTCTGAAATTTATGAAGTGCAGCGCAGCTTCAACGACGCGAATCCCCGTGATTGATTTAATCAGCTAAAATAACGATTTACTGTATATTCCTATCACAATTTGACATGTAAACGGAAGTGAATTCCTCGTGCCAGAGAATCAAACGCAGATAACTCACCTTAGAACAAGTGACCATCATGCCATCATTGAATCTCAAATGCAGAACGGCCTCACAGTGGTGTATTAAAGTATTGACAAGTTCTCCGTTCCGAACATCCCAAACCCTAACAGTGGAATCACTGGAGCCGCTGATGATCACTTTGTCATCATATTGTAGACATAAAACAGAGCCGGTGTGTCCTGTAAGGACTTGCATGCACTGCAACGAGTTTCGGTCCCAAATTTTAATGGTGTTGTCTCGTAGGCCTGACACGATTTTATGATCGTCATATTGTAGGCAGTAAACGCCTTTGGAATTTTCTGACCGACAGTTGATCCGCTGCAGCGTGTGATGACCCGTCCGCCAATTGAAATCCAAGATCTAAAATACGATAAATACATTTCATTAAAAATGCCAACCAATCGAAAAAAATTAAAATAAATTGGTCATGCTGATCCTCGATCAAGGAAATCAGATATCTTCCACTGACAAGCCCAAGCTCTGCTTTTTTTTTCTAGCTAAAATACATCCAACATTTCCTCAACGATATGAGGACATTGAAACCACAAGTCCAAGACATTCTTGGAATTATACGATCAATGTTCAAAACTAATCGCGCGAGTAACACGAAAATCAGATTGAAAAACGCAAAATCGACGATACGTGGCTTCATATCGGTGATTCGATCATTACGTTTAGTAGTTTCATAATATATTAAACACCTTTTTTCCTTCAAAAATTATCAACATAAATCAGCGAGCGTCTTATAATTGACGACATCTAAGATTTGCAGGTGAATTTTCAAACTTCCTTTCAACGAAATTGGCAGTTATCTAATAATGAACAAAAAATCAAACGCAACCGATTTAACTCGCATTTCAGTCACATTATAGATGAAAGGATCATACTCACATCTATACTCTGAATTATCTGAGGGTACAATCGACGATAGAAACTATGATCTGGCATTGGTTGACCAGGTCGAGGCTTGAAAAGATAGTCAATCCTGTTAAAAGTGAGAAAAGTATATATCAATGTTGTAAAGAAATTACAAATGCATACAAGACAGCGACAGATCTTAGCTTACCATCCTTTCCTCTCGGCCAGACCACGCCATAAGGGATCGGTTCGAACATTTCTTTCGATGAGTTTCTTCCACAGCATTCCCTCAGCGGCAACCCGATTCCATTCTTTACATACTAGTTCGGCCGAACGCAGAGATTTGTCGTCCAAGTAGGACAAAATCATTTCCGCTACGTGATCGCAACCCTTCTTCGGAAGTAGGGACAAGAAATCTCGCTGCAACATTGGCTTCAAATACAGATTCACTTGTCCGTGCTGATAATGACACATTTGTGACAGCAGATTCTGCACGAATTCTATTTGTTCCTGATCGTTCCATGATTGAAAGTGCTTCAAGCAACTTTCCCGGTCTTCGACAAATTTCGGCGAGGGCTCCTTCCGCCGCCGCAATGGTTCGCTATTCGTAATATTTATCTAGAGAAGAAAAACAATTACATGAACGAGAGGAAACACCAGAAAAAAATCGCGAGAAAAATACCTGATCGAACAGACGAGGGGACATCGGGTAATCATCCGAAGGACTATGTCGGAGCGGAGGATTACTGCTCGTATCCCCGGCCTCCTCTATGTGTTCAGGGACGTCAACTTCCATTTCGCTAGACATCGCGAGAATTCCTTAAACACGCCTTCCAAAGAACAGAAGATTCGTCAAGAGTAATCAAAGAGTAAACTTCAACTTTCAAATTACTTACATACTAATAGACAATATTCATGACGATCCACGAGTATTAATTTAGAGCACAATGTAATGATAACACCGTAATCCTGCGGACAAAAATTCCTGAAGAGATTTCGGTCCAGGCACTGTGTATTGTGTAATCACTTCATATGAAGCCTTTACAAAACAGTGATTGACTCCCCCTCATTCGGTGTCATTTTCTTCGACCACGGTCAGAAAAGGTTCTATGATGCCGCACCCGTGATACATTCAAATATAATTTACACTGCGACTGATCAACTTCATACACTTTTTCGACTACGAGCAAAGCTTAGATAACCTTCGAATGCAACCAAATATTTCGCCGACGTTCTCTGCGCTTTCGTGATCACTGCAGAGAAGAACTGACAACCGAACACAACCAGCTTTCACGGAAACTGCTATGCAATGGACTTCGACTTTACTCCACCTGGAATCCACAGCAATATTTAGGAAGCGGGAGATTTGATATTAAATCTGTAACATTGCCTATCGATTGGGTAGAGGTCACTCTCATCTATATTACACCAGGGATACAGAAGTACAGTAGGTAGGGTAATCATACAGCATTTTCTTCCGGAAAACTTATAAATTGCAAATAAGCGTGAATTGAACGAAGTTTGTTCAGTAATAGCTTGCAGTAGAAATGTCCCGAAAATTAAAAAAAGTGTGACAGCTCATTCAGTCAATAATGCAAAATTCGGTGAAGATAAGCTGCATTTTCAGATGCGTCTCTTCAAAAGTGCCAACGAAAATTATGATACATTTGTGATGTCGGACACCTTATTGACAAGGAAAACATATGATGGCACAGTTGTGATGTTGTACACCTTGCTGGCCAGGAAAACATATTCTTTGCGTACACCGTACGTGACCAACTCCTACATGCTCAGTCAGTTATCCTACCGAGAAGTACCGGAATCATTGGCCGGTGTGGCAGCCGGCTGGGCCCCGCATCGTCGGCGTGACCATTTCCGTCAGTCACATTTCATTCCCTGTGCAAACTTGTTGATGGTTATGTGCATCTGTGATGTAACATTGACATTTCGTATACTAAGCGAGAGTGCTTCCGGGTTTCGAGGTAATCAGCGTCTGGTATCCTTTATTTTAAGCAGCATGAGTAGCTGAAAGTGACGACTGAGAGCTGCTACGAAACTCGCATGCCGTCCGCGTGTGGAATCGTTAGCGATTAAGATTCATGCGGAACTCCGCCGTTGTTGTGTTGAATCTTGAAATGTTGGGCTAAAGCAGTTTGTGCATCACGATCTATTGTAAAGGTGTAACGTTCATTAGCTCCAGTGACTTGGACCGGGGTAGAAGTCTAGCATCCTAAAATCAATTCTGTGATGATCTACAAACCGTGAAAAGGGCAACGGACGGTAACGCCAACGTACTTTCAATGAAGATTCGTGCGCGAACGGATTTAGAATGATGTGTTATCTTGGAGAGTTTTCATGGTTCAGGTTGACATGTTTTGCTTTTTTACGAAACCTGCTCATCTCCGTCGTTGGTGGACTATTTATGTTAATTGCTCAGTTCAGTTAATCTGTTTTATTTTCTTCGTTCAAGGATGGCAAGGATAGTGAAAAGAGGAAGATCTTTAAAAAAGTCATCTTCGAGTGTTGAACCACCGTCAGAATCCGTCGAAGGTTCCGAATCTGATCACACCGCTGATGAGTCTGAGGAAGAGTCAGCGAACGAATCTTCTATTCTACCATCCGATCGAAGCAATGGGGGTGCTCACGATGGAGAATCTGGGTCGGAAGAGGAAGTCATGTTGAATGTTGACTCTGATGAAGAGGTTTGGATATTATTACGTTTTCTCGCCTATTTTTCTTTATCGCCCATCTTTTTTCTCATATTATTCTCTGCAGTTGCAACTTGCGTTTGAGAAGGGTCTCCTGAAGCCTGGTTTGAATGCATTTGGAGTCCAGAATAAGAAAGTCTACGTGAATGACGAGGTGCAGCACGAGAGTAGAATTTTCTTTGAAGTATTTCACAGATAATTTTTAATAACTCATTTCAGAACGCCTTGATGTCGAAATTTGACGGCTTCAAATTGGATTTACCACCTTTGGAAGTTCTAAGCATGACGCTGAAACCTGCGGCACTTGCTCCTGAATTAGCGATTGAGGAAGAAGCGCATGCTGAGAAACGGTTGAAGCTTTTTGAAGCAAGAGCTGCAAAGAATCTGTCTCGTGGTCAAAAGCCAAAGAAAGACTCGTCTCTAGATAGTGATCTAGTTCATAATGACTTCAAACGCGAGATCATGTTGTATGTATCTTTGGGTATCTTGAAAAAAATGGTGCGTAGAAAATGTTCATAAATTTCAGCTATCGTTTGGCTCAAGCAGCGGTGTTGAAAGGAATTCCGGAATTGAAAGTATTGGGGGCTAAAACAAAGAAGCCAACGGACTATTTCGCTCAAATGGCGAAGACTGACGAACACATGCAACGAGTGCGGCATAAACTGTTAGATGAGGAGGAAAAGGCAGAAAACTCCGCCAAAGCGCGGCGACTTCGTGAGTTGAAAAAATTCGGCAAACAGGCCCAAGTGGCGGTTTTACAGCGCCGGCATGATGACAAGAAACAGATCATGGAACAGGTACACTTATTTTGTTATTTTTGATGATGGTTATATTTAATTATTGCTGAAAATTTCAGATTAAAAAATTCAGGAAAGGTCAAAAAGATGCGTTGAATTTCTTGGACGGATCTGGTAGCATGCCCAAGCCTGGCAAGAAGGAGTCTCGTGAGCGAAACGTCAGCACACAGAAGTAAGTACTGTAATGGAAAGCAATAGTGTTTAAAGTGTTTTACTCTTTTTTTCGCCAGCGATTTTCGAAGGACAACAAATTCAAGTTATGAACATTTCATCTTGAGAAATGAAGTACAATATATCTTATTAAAATTTGTAGGAAGCAATTCAAAATATTAGTTTATCGGGGTTTTTTCAATTATCCCGGAGTTCCTAGCTTATGATGTTTTGCATGAGTACCATATAAAGTATATTCGAACTCGAAGAAACAACCCCTGGAAAAAGTCCGCATTTGGTGCTGCAGTTCTGTGTATTTAAATTTTGTCGACAGGATTGATGCACCTGACAGTTTTATTGAGTTTGGATCTGTTCTGTGCTAAAATTTTCATGTGTGGGGAAAGTGTTCATCATCCTCTTCAGCAGTAGCTTGCTGTTCAAAATGTCATGGGAAATGTAAAAAAAATTTGAAAATTGGGCTACCTTATTACAATCTCTAATCATGTACTGTACTAAGTTGTGGCGAAAAATGTTTGCATTGCAGTATTTGCCTTTTGGTACAGAGTTGGACACCTTGACTAAGATTGCAGTATTTGCCTTTTGGTACAGAGTTGGACACCTTGACTAAGATAACATATGCTTCGACCAGGGTTTGAAAGTGCATATTTAAAATCATAAGCTTTGACTGGAGAATTTACGTTAGTTCATACTTTTTTTCATTTGTTTGTCATTAAAATTAAAGCAATGCCAATGAAAGCAGACCACGTTGACGAGCACAAATTCATCATCTGTTGACTAAACGTTTGTTCAGATATTTCTGAAGAAGTAGCCTCAATCATTAATACGATAACCTTTTCTGAAAAGAAAAGGTAAAACGATTTCTCATCTGAAACGTTTTCATTGTACAGCAGGTGTATCGTAGAACAGACACCGTTGTTATTCTGAATCGAAATTTCGTACAGTATGTTATTTTGATTTTGTATGGGTTATTTTCGCCTTCGCACGTCCCACTGTTTCAGGTCCAGAAAAAAACGTGTGGCAAAAGACAATAAGTATGGTTTTGGTGGTCAAAAGAAGCGGTCGAAGTACAACACGAGAGACAGCACCGATGATGTTGGAGAGTTTGGTTCCAAGTCGCTTGGTAAAATTGGAAAGCGACCGAAAAACTATTTTCGCGGCGAAGCTTCCAATGTCCGTCGCAAACCAAGCATCAGAGCCGGCAGAAAACCGAATGCTCGACCGGGGAAATCCAAAAGAAAGCAGATAAAGTCTAAAAAACGTTGACGAACTGTGTGACTTGGCATACATTCATTAAAAATGGGAATGCGTTATTTGCTTAGGGTGGTTTGATGATGTTGAATTTTGCCTCGTTTATTTTGTGGATCCGTGATACATTGCTGAATAACCGCAATCTTGCAAAATTTAATTGTATTTTAGCGTTCAGGTGATCTTTCGCGAGGTGATGTTTCACTTCGCGTGAAACATTTTCACCTCAAAATTTGTCAACACTTACATTTAGAAGCACCGACTTTCTAGCAATGTCAGAAAATTATCTTGGGTAAACTATGTTGCCCTCGACACTCGGCGACCCAGACCAAATTTAAAAGTCTGAACTAACGGATTTTATGTTATTTTGATGTCCTCCGACACATATAATCAATTTTTTGAGTAGCTGTGATGTAAGAAAATTCTGTTTCACTAGTTTACATTTTCTTTTGCTCTTTTATTGCCTTTTTAGTTGACATCTATTAATTCAATTTTTATTTTGCATCATTGTACCACGGGTGCATTTTGAACGAGGTGTAATCTGAAATATTCTCGCGAAGATACCATACCCCCGAGTGTAGCAAATCCTTCCATGATTTTTCTCAACTTCGTGTTTTCTAAACTCACAGATAAAAGTGACGAAAATGACGCAAAAGCCGCCCCCGCGTATGCGCTGCTTTTTTGACATTTCTATTGGCGGAAATGCTGCTGGGCGGATAGTGTTTGAATTGTTCAATGACCTATGTCCATTGACGTGCGAAAACTTTCGAGCTTTGTGCACTGGGGAGAAGGGGATAGGGAAAATATCGAAGAAACCCCTACATTATCGAAACGCGCCGATTCACCGAGTTGTGAAGAACTTCATGATACAAGGAGGAGATTTCACCAATGGCAACGGAACTGGCGGCGAATCCATCTACGGGCGAATGTTCGAAGGTCTGTTATTCATTTCCGCCTCATTTCTGATTGACGACTAGTTCAATTTTGTGTACCTTCAATTGTTCTTATTATTTGGCAGACTCCTAGTCGTTTTCTGAAAATTTTTACATGCCTATACTACGTCACGAAGGTGCTTTCTAAAATTGCTCATGGAAATACAGTACTTCGCCATTTGGTAATACTGCACTTATAACTTCTCGATAGTTTTGATAACTTACTTCATCCCGTGCAATCACGAATTCTTCAAGCACGAGTAGATGTTTGTGGCAGGCAAGATGGAATTTTAATTTCACCGAGAGTCTTGCCTATCTGCTTTTTGTGTTCCTTCACATGCCTTGTTTCTTGTTTGTTTGAAAATATCTGCTCTGCCATAAGAGGCTTCATCTCCTTCCAATTTTTAATATTGATGATGATTTAAAGTTGGTTTTTGGCCTTCGGTGAGATTGTGACGTAGTCGCTACGAATCTTAGTTCATTTCAGTTTCTCTTGATCCAAGTTGTGAAAACTAAAGCGAAGAAAATTTTGACTTTTGCATTGCTCCTCAATTATTCGGACATGCCTTATTTAACTCGAAGCGTAAAACACATATGGTGAAGTGACCGAAGTATAACGTCCAATCAATACTTTTGAGAGTTGAAGATTATTTCCTTTCCAATTTCAGACGAAAACTTTGAAATGAAACACAAAAAGCCATTCCTCCTTTCAATGGCGAACAAGGGACCGAACACGAATGGATCGCAATTCTTCATGTAAGGCTAAAATCGCTTGAGTTGTAGCTGGCTCACTCAAATTCCTTCGCACGTTTGAAAAATTATGAAGAGCTTATATGTTTTCCTTTGTTTCCTCGCTTTTCGCGAAGCCGAAATAGCTGGTGAGAAAAAATCATTTGAATCGCTGTGAATTTAACCTGTTCCGGATTGCTTCTATCATTCGTAGAACGACTCAAGCGACGCCGCATTTGGATGGGTGCGTGTTTTGATGGCATTTCTTTCAAAAACGTAGCCGAATCGTGAATTTTAACTTTCGTTCAACAGAGTCCATGTTGTGTTTGGACACGTGCTGGATGGTTCTAAAATTGTTTCGGAAATTGAAAGTCTTGCGACGGATAAGAGCAATCGTCCAACCGAAGACGTCATCATCTCAAACTGCGGCGAGCTGATCCGAGTACTCAAGAAGAAAAATGCCTCCCCAGGTAATGTCAGTTACGCATGAAAAATGTTCTTAGTTCAAAATTTGGAAAGAAATAGAGNTCCCTTGAAAATATCAGATTGTTTTTAAAAACTCAGAGATTTGCACTGTATGAAACAAATACAGTATAATCATCACACTCAACTATTCAAGATTTCATTCAAAGAAATTATTGTATTGTATATTGTTCAGGGAGCTGCGTTTCTTCCCAATTTGAGTAATTTGTGGAAACGGTGTCTAAACATGTTGAATCCACTCTTTCTGTTCTTTTGCGTTATGTTTTCATCTTGCCGTGGGCGCCAAAAAATTGAACATGAGAAAGAAAATACACGCAATTTTCGTAGAAGCTTGGCTTTTTGGACAACAATACTTTGCATAGCACCCGAGCCATTGAAGTTTTAATTAAAGTTCTCCATTTTTTTGCAACGATTTCTGAGAACATTTTTTTACGGTTTTGACTTTCATGATTTAGAATAATAGATCTCATGCATGAATTTCACGAATATTGTTTGCTGCATTCAAAAGCATTTTATTTCAACTTTCAATTGCGCTCGAGTTCATTTTTTTCCGGTTACAGTATTACAATATTGTGTGGTCGCATCAGTTTGAATTTTTCTGTCCATTAAAAAAAAAAGATTATATGCCATTGTTTCGTTTATTTTCTCCTTTCAGCTCCCAAACATAAAGTCGAGAAGCCGAAGAAAAAGAAGAGAAAGAAGGAATCGAAGGACCGCAAGCGACGCAGTTCGGGCTCTGATTCGGGATCCGATTCAGCCCCCGGCGGATCCGAAGACGAAGAGTTGCGCCGTAAATCCCGCCCATCCAAACGCAACAATAAATCCAAGGAAGACAGGCCGCGAGAGCCGCAAAGGCATAGGGAATCCCGTAGCAGATCCAAGGAGGATCGCGATCGTTCGACAAAACGAAAAGATGGACCACCCGCGGCGTCTCCCCAACCTCCGACGGAAGATCAAGAGCCATTTGACAAGTCGACGTTGCATCCATTAGCGACCGTGAGTGCTCTGGACGCCGGAGACATCCCCGAGGTGCCGAAGAACAAATTTCTGTATAGAACCGACGAGTTGCCAGAGAAGGTGCAGACGGAGAAGCGACGTTCGCCGCCGACCAGGAGAGGGAGAGAGAGTTCGTTGTCGCCGCCGCCGCCGCGGCGGCCGGACAGGCGAGGTAGGGACAGGGACCGTGAGAGAGAGCGTCGTCAGCCGTCTCCGGAGAGGCCGAAGCGAGATCAGTTCCGTGGATTTACGCGAAGCGGGCGGAGGATTAAGGGCAAAGGAGTGCTGGTAAGCAGCATTTTGCTTGATAATTTTGATTTCTGTAATGTGTTTTCTGCTTGAAATTAACAAGAATGTCTTATAGGTGTACTCTCTCTACAATGATATTTTCTGTGAACAGTAAAATCTCGTCACAACAAATTTTTAGGGACATCAGGTCAATTTCAGCGAGTACAAAATTTTCAATTGCTGGAAAATTAAATTTTAGTCAATTTTCTATCGTTTTCTATCGATAATTCCTGAAAAGCTAATACAGTTTAGCGTCAATCTATCCCGTTCAAAATCGTATTTTTAGTCAAAATTCCTCATTATTGGGAATGTGTTTTACGAAATTAATCGCCTATCAAAGTTCCTGATATTCCTGGGCTCCACATTAGTACATCCAACGGAATACTTTCGAATTTGCTAATGCGAAGTAAAATCTCATTTTAACAACGCTTTTGGGTCCGGGAAAATTTTTAAAATAACGATTAATTCGTTATAAAGCTACATTATTTGAATAACATCGTTGCTATTGGACTGATACCGAAAACACGAATTCATTGAAACCAATAATTCCTTTTAAAGATTTTCTATCATTTTCACTAGTAGTGAATATTTGGTTGTCTTTATTCTGGGAACAATTTATAACAAATCACTATAAGAAAGCGGCTAGCTTAATTTTCCTCTTGTTAGTTTGTCCTTGGAATGTTATGTCAATGAAATCCAGGAGACACGTTATAAGAAGGAATACGTTACAATTGGCACTCAGAAGTTCATTCACTCATGACAGTCCATGCTCAGCGTAGGAATTACTTGGCGTATGCCATCTTGTATCCTCTCTTCGTTCTGAACATGTTTTCTTATTTTATTTCTTGTGTGCAGAGGTACCGAACGCCATCCAGAAGTAGGTCGCGCAGTGTTACACCTCCTCACTGGCGGAATGCGCAGAGACGAACGATTTCATTGGCTCAGTACGAGGTGAGTTGTCGAGTTCTTTGCTCTTTGATAATGTATGCCACCGCCGTATTTCGGCAATTGTTTGATCAGTGAGTCCCGTGAATGTTGACACGATTGATTGAAGTGAACGACCGCCCTGGGGATGATTAGTGCGAAAATGGGCGCGTGTGAGACGGATATCTGTAATGACGTGTTTCCAGTGCTATACTGGTGGTTTAAAAAATCATTTTATTTTATTCTCTCGGAAATTTCACGAATATGATGACGAGTTCTGGCTTTGATTTTATGAATTTCATAGTACAGAAACTTACGACGTCCCTACCCCCGAAATCTTTAGAATGACTTGACAACGGAGATTTGGAAAAATGAAATTTTTGGAAATTGTATTGGGGGCACAGGGATGATTCGCGAGCAGAAAATGTAGTCTTGTATGTCGAATGTGTTCACTTAGAAGAATCCTGAATACAGTACATCAACTTTTTCCTTGATTTTTTTTTTGCTGGCATCAGTGCCAACAATCTATTTGTTCTCAATGAAACATCCCCGGCATATTCAACAGTTTTCAACTGTCTATTTCTGTATGCGTCATCCAGTGATTCGATGCTATTCCTAAAAGACTTTCATGAAATAACTCCCGAGTTCTTTCATCAAAATGGCAGATTTTAAATTTAGTAATTTATCCTTCATTTTTATACATTTTATTATAACTACCTGCCGGATGAATCCTGACGAGTTCGATAAGTACTGTCCGCAGATGTGACCAAAGGCCACATTGCAGAGGTAATGAGTCTTTGCGGGCCATAATTGACAATACTGTATTGAAAATTTGTTGATGGCAAATGTTTCCAAAGGGCTCAACATTTTCCACTTTTCAATGAAAAGTTAAAATTTTTTCATTCAGTTCTGTGCATTGAATCACAAGTATGGCCGTATAGAATTTGTGCTGGGTGGAGCACGATTTTTAAATTTTAAAAATTCACCTTTTGATATAATCTGAGCAGTGTCTGCTGCCATATGTCCCCATCAATCAGAAGAACATGTATGGAAGGGGTAATCATGAGTGATCGTTGATAGTTTCGGATGGCAAGCGCAACCATTTAACTGCACAAACGAATCGATAACGATGGTTTTTTTAAATCTCCAGTAGTATTCAGGCTCATTTGTTGAAACATTTTACCTATACGAATTAGTGCATATCGTGTTTTCCCCGGATGCTTCGCGAATGAGTGGAATTCAATCGTTCCGATTCTCAAAAACGAAAAACCGTTAAAATCAATTGAAAATCCGGTTCTGATTACTGTACTTCATACGTTTTTTGAGCTTTTCTTATTTAATACAATTCAACAAAATCCGTATTGCAATTTTAGAAACCAAGCTAGAGGAAATTACAGAAGATACCCAAGTATGTGTTGGTCCTCCGTGTGCTTGAGTAAATCTTTGGACAGTATCCACTGTTGATTTAATGAGGACTGCGTAGTGAAGGTGAAGTCCCTCATCGTGGTTGTCTCTACCTTTGAAGCTGCGGAATGGTTCGCAAATTTACTTTCCACATCCTGTTTATCTATATTCTGCTCTTTTTCGCCTTGGCATTCGGTAGTTGATTGACGAGATCCAGTGAAATAAAATAATGAATGATTTTTTTAGGGGATCTTTTGGACTGGAGTTGACTTCGGAATAACTCACAGTAACTTCAGGTTTCTTGCAGCGTCGAGTTGAAATTTGTTCAAGTTTTCCTTCTAGTTGAGGGAAATTCAGGAGAAAAGTATTTGTTCTCAAAATTATTTTCTTAGGTTTGCGATTCTTTGACGTTTAAAAAAAATTGGAATTATTCATACCCGTTTTTGTCGCCTGAGAACAAGTCCTTTTTAAGAATTTTTTCGGACGAATACCGTCGTGATTCACTTGGTACTAATCTAACAAACGACAGAAAGGCAACACCCATTATGCTGTAAATGTGCACAATTTTAGCCAATGACACACAAACTTCTCAATCGTGCGTTCATGACTTCCCCAAAAAATATCTTTTCTACGGATATTCACGTGCAGATCACCACGTGAATCACCCACTGAAAGATAAATGTAGTTCCTCCGTGCATAGTCGCATGCATCGATCATCCGATTTTTATTCATTTTTCATGTCGTCATATCCTGTGAGAACATCATTGATTAATACAGAGATTATTGAAAAATTGTCTGATTATTGAAGGACTTGGATTGTAGGAAAATAAAAGGAGACAACCTAATTTTAAGTGGCCCTTCTTTCCTGCACCGTGAAGTTAGTTCGTATTTTATCAGCAAATAATTGTCGAATGATGGAGGACGGACTTGAATTCGTGCGCAGTTTGGTTTGAGAGCAGTCGGCGCCCGGAACTAAATTTGCATTGCAAGTCCTGAAATTATTTCAGTGGTGAAATATTCGTTCGATGAACCGTAATTTTTGTTCTTCGTTTTCAACCTCTTGTGAGGTCCTACGCTAGGAAAATTAATTCTTTTTGCTGTTTTCTTCGCTTCATGATGAAAGACGAAGCTTGATTACGTCTGTGTGAAATTTCTCAGGCATTTCGAAAACTGTGGGAATTTTTCAGCGTCGAGCTCGAACAGCTCACTTCTTTTCCTTATACTGTCGTGTATTTTGAATCTTTCACTCCCTCAAGACGTGAATATAAATAAAGACAATTTTGAAAATTAGAAAAGAGCTCCGACGTTTTCGTGAGGGACACGAAACATGCCCACAGTCATCGAAAAGGAATCCATTGTAACCCAGGGACCGAACTTATTACTGTTAAAATTCCGTTGCCACAAATTTGAAGAAACTTTAAAATTCGTTCTACGGAAAACTCAGCTAATGTTTTTCGATTCTGTTGGAAATAATTGGAAGATTTCTCGAATCTAAATTCCATTCATCCACAATTTAAAAAAAATGCGAAGTTCATAACAGATGAAAATGCTGATTTCCAACAAAATAGCTTTATTTCTAAAAAAAAAATCGTGTGCCACTGCCAAATACGCAATGTTGTAGACAAGCATTAGCACACAATATTAAAGTTGTACTTTTGTGGGCCTTTATAATCACCAGTGCTGGTCTTTTTTGCATTTTACCGTACGTAACACTTGAGAATAAAATAGCAAAAAATATTCATCAAACTTGTAATACGAAATGGTGAGATATTCAAGACGCCTGCTCGATCTAGATTTCTCTTGAATAGTTTCCTGTACAGCAAATGACTCGAAAGTGCTGTAACTTCATTCTTTTCAAAATTTATAGGAAAATGATCATGATCTCTGCTGAAGTCCCAGGAATTGCATTGTTGGTAAGATGGGGTGGTGAACAGTGTGTATTTTTGTCCTTGAATATATTTTCCCATCTAAATTCCGAGAAAAGCATCACTGTCAGTGTGGATCAAAAACCGAAGTTCTAGCTGTGTGGCGGGTTCGTTGAAAATAGCTGATCAAGCAAAAAGATTTGAAAACTTTTCAAAACTTGGATCAGCGTACAATCTTGTGATATTTTCAGTTCATTTTACTGACGAACAATTTTCAATAATTAAATCCTTCCGCTTTTGTCATATAAAGGGACGTCGAAAAAGTGGTTTTGCGAAAAATCGTATTTATTGTACTTCAAATATTTCAATGGAATTTTATGTCTACTCTATAACAAAACTAAGCATAAAACCCAGAAAAACGCATGACAACTAATATAAAATTTATAATCTATAATACTGCATTATTTTCACTATACAACCAAACTAAGCGTTCAACAGGGCAAAACTGATGAAAATTGACATATATTTTGGAACTAGAGAAATTTTGGCGTATTTGGCCTTTAAGCGACGAGCACCGAAATTTGAAACCTGAATGAATTACCAAGCTGTCCTGACTGAAATTGTGATTTAAAAAAATGAAAATTATGCTTGTCAAAATGTATGACGCGTGGACGTGAAGTTCTAAATTTCAAAAGCTTTCTAGAGTATGTAAATTGTAAAAAAAGGGTTATTGAAGTTCCGCGAACAAAAATTAAATTGTATTATTAATTTTATTTTTTGCTACGGGAAGCATATGCGTGATAAATTTTTCCCCCTCGTCAGAAAATTAAAGAACAGCACAAGAAGTGGGAGGAAGATCGAGCCCTGCGGGAAGAAGAGCGGAAGAAACGGCTCGAAGAGCGCAGTCTGAAAGAGGAAGAAGAGTTGCGTAAACGACTTCTGGAGAAAATGGAGCGTCGAAAGCAGGAAGTGTCTTCCGATTCCGGCGAGAAGCCCAGGCGTCGTTTCACTGAGAATCCATCGTCATCTGAAAATCGTGACGAAGAAAGCAGCGCTATCGAGAAGGTAGCTAAGAACTATGGCGGGAATTCTTCCAACGAAAGCTCGCCATCTGGAAGAAACGGCTTCCGAGACGAAGAAGCGAAACCCGACCTTTCCAAGTTGACTGCCCAGGAATTGGTCTCCGGTCGATACTCGGATGGTTCCGACTCTGATACCCCGAGACAACAGGAACAGTTCCGCGATGGTGGACGTCGGTCTGCGTCTAGAGAGCGATTGATGTAGAATTTGCAATATTTCTTCTCTGATTCCTCTATTTCTCCTTTCCTTTTTCTGTTTTTTTTTCATTCGGCATTCCTGAGGGATTTTTGATGTAATCATTTTTTCCTTGATCGACAAAAAACTTTAAACCTGGCCATATAGTTGGACCGAGTGCATTTAATGTGTCAAGCGTGCGACATAATTTGTAAGGTCAACTTGGTAGAGTTTATATTTTTTCGATAATTCCAATTACTGAGATCGTTTCCCATTATGTGCTGCCACACATTCGTGCTGATTCCTGTCCGTTCGCATTTCCTGTACATGTGTACTACTTAAAAAGGAAATTATGTTCCCGATAAAAATTGAAAGATCTCGCCCGGCGAATACCCGTCTTCAGCTGGAATTGTAATCCACATGGTAATTGTAATTCGTGTTTTGAGGAATAAGATTCTTACTTCGAAGCCCCACAACCTGATTTCGTGGCGCTCTTCGCACTCGTGTAGATGTCGCTCGGATTCTGTACAAGTTGGGTGATTTTTTTTTCTTGTTAGGGTGATTTACAACAGGTAAATTTTGGTCCAGTTCGATGAGGTTACTTCAAATGAAGTTAGGCGAGTCATTCATTAGCTGACACCTGCGTGTCTTTCCATTGAGTAACTTCTGGCGTTGAAATGGGAATACCGTAACTTGATGCCCGAGAAACTGACTTTTTTCTGCTTTATTGGGCATGGAATTCCTTAATTTCATTCTTTCATTTTGGTAATTTTTCTAAATGTTTGAATACTGTACTTTTTTCGTTCTTTGCCTTTTTTATTGGCTTAAAATTCCTTTTTTCAGATTTCAGCGCAACTGTGCCGATGGTTTCCCCGGGTGGTAACAAATGTAAACCTTTATCTTCAATTATTCCTCTCTTATCTGAATTACTGCTGGTCAACTTTTATTGAGAGTTGACCCATTCAGTTCTTAGTAAAGTTGCCTCTCGAATATTTTGCGGTCATGTGTTCATTTTTTTTTCTAAATTTCACAGGTAAGGCGTTTTTTCTTCCCTCGTGTGGCAAATTTTCAGCTTTGATTTTTTTTATTCACTTTTTTCATCAAATTCATACGTTATTGTTTTCCAGTTTTCCGAGCCCTTAGTTCTCTCTCTGCGCGGATTCCAGAGTTGTTCCGGGCAGGAATGAAATGTACTTTCGTCGTGTGAGACGCGCGAGTTGTAATTATTCTTTGGGGGTGGGTCAAAAAAATTTGGAATGAATATGGACATCTCGTTCAAGTGTTTCCCAAAACCAATTGAACGTGGTTTTATTTTGTTCGAAAAAAAGCGGTACTTCCTTTCTTCTATTCCTCGATTTCCGTTTACTGTGCCCAATGTTGAAAGAATAACGTGCTGGCGTTCATTGTTCCACATGGATTTCCCTTCCCCTTTTTTTCCTATGTAAGGTTGCCTGACGTTCAAATATAACTTCGAATTGTCGGCTGAGAATATTTGAAGCCGTCGAATGATCTATCAATGGGACTCGTGAATTTTCTGTTATGGATGATCTATTGTTTCCTCAGACGAATATGTAGCATGTGAACTGTTCCGGGATGTCGAAGCGATCGAAAGCTGCGTCGTCTCGCGAAACGACTCCTCTCAACTGGGGTCTGTTGGGTTTTAGCGTGGGAACCTTCGTCGAAGTGAAGAACGAAAACGAAGAATGGTGCCCCGCAACGGTGAGCTGTGTTTAATCTTAATCTTTGACGAGAATTTCACATTACTGTAAATCCCTTCCATGGGCATATTGTTGCTCAGCAGTTTACATTTTAATGTAACCATAAAATTCAGCGTCCTGATTAAATTATTAAATTAAATTTACGAACTTGGGATTCAGTCTGAGTGAAGAGGAAAGAACGCTTGTTCCGTTTACTCAAGTGATTCAGCACTGGTTTTTATTGCGAAGTGATCTAACAGCGACAACATTTTGCAGTCGAGCTTCAAGAAGCAAAAAAATATAATTATGGATGTTTCGCATTAGGGTAACTTCCGTGTTAATAAATTGGCAGCCAAGAGGTCTCTGGAAAATCCCGAGTTTAGGAGGTTTGAACGGGGAACTCTTCAAACTAGGGAATTTTTAAATACGTTGATTGTGCAGGAATTCACACGGGGAGTTGGAAAAATTCGCGTTCGAGTTATCGAGGTTAAAATGTATTTAAACGAAGGATTGTGTGCGTAGTTTGAAAAAGTTCTCTGGGAAATATTCGGCTCAAAATTTTAAGCCCATTCCTGTTCTCAGTAAACTAGACAAAAAATAAAGCTATGAACTGATTAAAGGTAGTTTCTGTGATGATTGCGTACATTTTCAATTTAAATCGTTTGAAGGTCGCCGTCCACCAAGTACATGCCATGAGAGTAGAATCTGCTCTCATTGACGATTGTTAATTTACCGGCGATTATCCATTGCAGGTTACCGTCGTGCAAGCGTCTGCTGAGCGTGTTCACGTTCGTTACAGCGATTACCCTAATAAACCTGATGAATGGGTGCAAGTGCCAAGTGATTCCGTGCGCTTTATGTCTTCTGACGCTATTCAGAAGGTTACCATCAGTGAAATGAAAAAATGCGGCCGTGAAATTCAAGCTTTTAAACAAGGAGATTATGTGTATGCTCCGTGGACGAATGGTTCCAGGTTAGCTCGAAAAATATTTTTTTAAGCTAACGTGAAAAGTGAAAGATTTACGTTGAATTATTCATGTTTTCTTTGTGCAGGCATGCAGCAAAGATCTTGAATGTTGTTGAAAATTCGGACAAAGATGATCCGGGAAAGGCCTTGTACGAGGTCCGATTCCATGACGGATTTCTTTTGGTTGTTCCTGGAAAGAGACTGCGTCCTCTCGATCCTGCTGTAATTAAAAAGACTGTAAGGAATTTCGACTCCTCATACTTATTTGCGATTTGATTTTTTTTTCTTATTTATTTGGCTCATCGACCCCCGATTTTTGAATAAGTGATTTACTTGTGCCATTGCATAAAGATGTTGCTTTAAATTGATGTGGAACTAGAGTTGTACTCTCTCTGCAACAAATTCGTTCTGGAGAGTCTTTCGTTGTAGAAACCCCCGATAACATGGGGAGACAACCCTGTTGGACCAGAAGGAAATTTGTTATACGGTACAGAGAAATTATTGTGGAGAGAGATCAGAGTCCACCTGTAAAATTTATTTTTTGTGGTATTGTATTCTCTGTGTGTCTCTGGATACTATTCTGAAGATCTTGCTTCATGATACCTAATTTATTGCTAATTGTTTTTTAAACCAAGAAATGCTATGAACTTTATTGAAGCTTTTTCACTCTTTTTGGACAAACATTTTAGTGACCAAAACAAAAACAGCACTTCAGAGATCCAAATTCGAATTTAGACATGAATTGATCCTGAAGTCAAATAATTTTCAATCGTTTCAAATCAAATAAGTTTTTCTATCAAACTTCGTCCCAAAATTTCTGTTGGAATCAAATATGATGCACGCGTAATATTTTAGAATTGAAAAATGTATGCACACGACGCACACTCCCCTTTTATCATATTGAATTTTAGCGAAAATATGCGCATGGTAAATACGGTACATTATTTGTTTTCTGACCGCGTCAATAATGGGAATTCGGTAAAATATTTATGGCAATTTTTTGACCTTCTACAGATCTTCCACGATGAGCCAGTATTGCGTGAAAGTAGGAACGTTTTCACGCCGGAATCCGCCATTCAAGACGTTGAAGCACACTCGGGGATTCGTCCGAAAAAGCTGCGCATGGACTTGAAGGAGGTTTTCGGTCGTCCACGTACCTCCTTCGCCGATTCGTCTGGATCCAAGAAACGTGGCTCTGGTGAGTTATCTTTTCCCGTTTTCCAACTGCATGGGAAACCTCCGTAGGTGCTATGATTGATGTTCTTTCAGGGTGTCAGCGGACTCAACCGCCTGAAACCAAAATCAGCTTCCCGGGACCCACAGCTAGGTTTTCTTGTGCACCCCCTGAAGCGTCCAAGTCTCGAAAGATAGCTGTGAAAGCAAATGCAAGAGGTAATTCATCGTAATATGGGGTGTCCGAAAATTATGTGGAAATGCCCGATTAAATCTGAGTAAGGATAATGCAAAAAAATATTTTCATAAGGTATTGAGAATGTTCATTTATTAAATTGAGCTTTCGTTGGAGAATTTTATATGGCGAACAAAATTTTCTGTGTCACCCTGTATATTTCTAAACGAATACCGAATACAAACTCTCCCAATAAAAGTGCAGTAAGTTGCGAGTTCGATTCCAATTCGTTGATGTTCTAATATTCTGGGGAATTTTAATCGAAGAAAAATATTCTGTTATCGTCTGCATTGCTAAACGAATGCTAAATGCAAATTCTATGCGAAAAAAACTTTTATTTTAAAGTTTTTGTTTTACTCTACTTCAATTTCATTCCGAAAAAAATCTACGGTTTATTTTATAATCGCTGTTTGAACATAGGAACTATGTTTTGTCCGCCTGTTGTATTTTTCGATCCTCTACATGAACGACTTAGTATTTTCCATTCAGTTTTTTTATGCGATTTAATAGATGTACTGTCACGAGATTTAACAGATTCAATTGTGTTGGATACAGTAACGATAAGTTCTGGGTAGCAACGATAAGTTTGTTGAAGTGAAAATAGTGGTTTTCCCCCTTAGTTTAGCATTCCCAGAAGATTATTTGTTGCTTAATACTTTATTTACCCATTATAAATGGTAATTGAAATGATTTTCGGACACCCTGTATCCGTAGTGACGACTTGCGGACGCTTGGACCGAACCGTGCCTTCAAGAAGTGATTTTATGAACTGGCATCCTGAAGTTACTGAAACGACTCGAGATCAACTAAATGCACCCACTATTGGTCATAGTTCCGCGACAAACTTAATGTCGTCTTATGACAAGCCCAAGAAGTCTCATCCTTCCATTTTGGATCAGAATCACGCGGTGGCAGTTAATTCTGCGTCAGGAACGAACATGCATCCGGATTATTGTGATCCTTCTAGTGCCAATATTGGAGTGAGCAGCGTTCAAAATTCGGAGGACTGTGACCGTGAAAAGAACTCGGATGTGATACAGCCCCCTCGTATGGCTGAAGGTAGAACAAGGAAGTCCTCCAACCCGCGCAAGTTGAAGCGTAAATTTCAACGAACCGTTATCCTCACCGATGAAATTTGCTTCGGGTCGCTAATGGACTCGACTAATTTTGATGAACGTGGATTTACGGAGTCACTGACGAAATTCGACGGCCCAGTACGGACTGCGCCGCGTAGTTTCCGCACCCGTAGCGTTTCGCCGAATTTCGTGTATTTTCCGGAAGTTGATTTTGGACGACAATTTTGTGATGTCAAGAAACGTCTACATCCTGCCGCAGAACGAAGATATTCTCTGAGTAGTCTCCGTTTGTCTGAATCTAGGGTGACGAAAATCGCTGCGTCACGCGAGAATAAGCCGAAGTCATTTGCTAATGCGCAAGATTGCCGACGAGCTATTGCGAAAGGAAGTTTCGGCGAAAACGTTTCGTCTTTAAATAAAGAATCAAATCACACCCAAGGTCGTGAAGGAGGCTTTCTTTGCGCTTCCACGAAATCTATCGAGACAGAATTTACGAAAACTATTTTGTGCGGAAGCGTTTCTCCCTCGAACGCCGACAACGAAATGAGGGAAACGCCATCGCGCCTCAGACGCGCGGAAAGAGATTTTCGCGGCGATAAAAGCATTTCACCATTGGCGAGAAAGCCTGGTATTGAAGACGAATCCGACGACTTGGGCGCATTCGGTGAAGGAGTCGAAGTTGGAAGTAATTTTGTTGGTGATACTGCCAATATGGAAGGCTGTGATCGGATTCATTGTGTCGGAAGTCCATCCGCTCTACGTGATCGCTCGCAGATACTCCGAATTTTGTATTCCGAAAAAGATGGAAATGCTTCGAGCCGGGAAGTTCCTCGTGTCCGAGTTCGAACGTATTCTCCACCACCTCCAAGATCTCCGTGGAGTGCTCTAGATTCACCGACTCGGGAAAATCCGTCTTGCCGACCCGTGATTCTCATTCGTTGGTCTTCCATGCAGAAACCCTCTCAGGAACCCGATTTAACCCTGGAAGACCTTCTTCAGCTGTCGGAAAACACAAGCATCCTGTCACGTAAGGAACGGCCGCAGCGTTTGAGTCCAAAGCTCATCATTCGCCGGAATGCGTCTGGTTACAGCTCTGAGTTCTCGCCAGTGAAGACACCTTTCGTGGAGAAGAGCATCAAAAAATGCTCCAAAAATATGCACGGGTCGCCTGACCGTGTGCCAAAACGAATTTCCAATCCGCCGAGTTCACCCACGAAAAGAAAGCTTCAGAAACCGTGTGTTTTAGATGCAAAGGAAATCAGAAGTACGGGAAGTGATCTACGTTCTGTAACGAAATTACTAGAATATCATCCTATCGTCAGACATTCGCTTTTGGACGTGGAAACGTCGCACACTTGCGAAAATTTTCATGAAAACCCCGAGAAGTCGCCACGCGTGAAATTAGCTTCAATCTCAGGACACAGTAACGGAGAATCTTCATTCTGGAAACTGGATAATTGTTGTCGAGAGCGAGAAATTTCACTGGAAACCAGCGAAATGCCTGCGAATCCCCGGGATGTATCATCCGATAATCAACCATTGATCCTCAAGCTGAAAAGACCGAGGAAAGACTCGAATGGCTCTCGGAATCTCGACGGAAGCTCAGTCGACCCTTCATCCTCAAAAACAAACACGTGTATTCAACAGAGACCCAAGAAGAAGAAGAAGAAACGAAAGAAGCCTCTTCATGAAGAACTCTATTCTCCCGCATTGAAGGATTCAAGAAAATCGCCGAATATTGAAAAAGAGCCGGTTTTTGCGGAATTAAAAAACGTGCCATTATATGATCTTCAGAATGATGCCGAATACTCTCCCGAACTTCATGAAGTATTCACTGAACACGACTCTCATCAGTCGAAGAAACGTAAAATTGATGCCTTTCTGGATGAACCTGTCAACTCTCCTAGTTGTACGTCAGTCGAAGATCAGCCGGTTTTCCGAAGTGCATTGGAAATCCTTGCGGAAATCGCCGCCTCGGGCAACACTGCTGTTACACTGAACGAAGTTCCCGATTGTGAACTCCAATGTGTCGAGATTACCCGTCCCCATGAACCCATTTCCAAAGCCAATCTTGGGCCCGACTCAGTTTCGTCAACGCAAGTAGTACCCAAAGAGGATGAGGATGAGGAAAATGTCGCAATTCCTTCATCTCCCTTCAAGATGAAGCTTGCTGTGAACAATGACAAAGTCTGGAAAGTTGAATACAACTCCATGAGTCCGAAGAAGAGCAAGAGAAAGAAAAAGAGAAGGCGTGTCAAGAACAAGTATTCGCAAAAGGCTAATCGGCTTTCTTCAGTCGTCACTGAACAAAAATCTAATTGTTCGGAAAGAGATTCTTTGGGCGATGCGAATTCCGATGTTGTTGCTCCCGCAACCACGCAAAATGAAGAAGAGGACGTTCTCGATCTCAGGATGAATGACTTCAAACAGAAGACGAGTACATGCGCTGAAAATTCATGTCTGAATGATATATCTGAGAGCTCTGCTGAAAATGTTAACGAGGTTTCAGTGGGAGATAATGAAACTGCGTTGATCGTTGGCGGGATTTCAGAACCTGCAGAAAGTCGGCGAGAAGGAATTGGAGCTGTTGAAGCTAATGCATTAGTTCCGGAAGGCAATGTGAAAGGTCCATCTGTGTTGGACGCGATACCTTCATTTGAAGAAAAAGCGCAAGAATTGACAACGTATTCCGAAGTCCCAGAAGTACACTCACAACCTTGTCAAGACATATTGAAGGAGAATTCAAATTTTGAGCCGGAACGTGGAGAAGCGAACGTTGAAGAGCTTTTTTGTCAAGGTTCAAATACGGATCACCTCGCAGGAGCATCACCAAGAAATGTAATTCTCCCAGAACTTCCCTTGGACCTCACGATTATTGCGCCTATTTCGCCTTGTCGAAGCAATTCGATTGATACCTCGGAAACTTCATGCTCACGGATCGATGTTACGGAAATCGTGGCTGAAAACTACGAAAATCGGGGAGCGAGGAATTCCCCGAAGTACGCCGTCGAGGCCCCGAATCACTTCCAAGAATTTGAAGCGACGGATTTTTTGGACGGCATGACAGCTTGGGGAACGTTTGCCAAAGTGCCCAACAGCTCGTTCAATTTGCCCAACGTACCGGGAAGTCATGCAGCGTATAGTTTGCGAGATGAAGTTCTTCCGGATCGCGGTATTCGCAGAATGTGTCATTCGGAGCCAATCACTCGGAATCCCGACCATGAGGAACGTTGTCATAGTTGGTCTGAAACGGCTTCGAATCTGTCTACGCCTCCGGCTGCGCATTTGTCGGATGAACTTCAAACTGAAGAGAACTTCTTCCCAACGGTGGATTCGTGTGATGATGACAAGTTGGAAGACCATCAGTTCGCGGAAACCATGGGTTGCCACACGTTGGTCCCTGATGACGGGTGTTGGACCCCGTTTGACGACATTTCTTTGATCGCTGCGGGAAAGGGTCCCGCTGGGGAGAAGAATATCTTTCAGAAACCCCTTCCCGGGTTTGAAGTTTTTAGCAGCACTCCGAGCCGGAGGCCAGATGAAGAAGTTCCCGTTTCGAAGGATATTGCGAGGGTTGGACAAATTCTGCAAACTTTTGATGATCGTTCAAACCAAAATTTGTCGGACGATGCCGTTGGTGTTGATTCAACGCTCAATGGTAAAGTTCTTCCCGGATTTAAGTTCGTCTTTGGCTTGACAAGTGAAAAGTTTTCTGGGTTTGAAGCGGGTGAATCGTCGGATGCGGTTTCTGATGATTCCAGATCTCGTTGTACGCAACTGAACGCTGGTTCGAGCGGAAATCACGAGGATAAAGAACCTCCCAGTCCTAAAGCCAAATCTCCTTTTGTGGACCGTGTGGAAAATAGCGTCGAGTGTTCAGAACAGAGACGATATTCTGTTGAACGAAATCTGCAGGGATCTGATCTGTCGCTGAAAAATTCAGATACTCGTGAAAATTGCGTATCTGAAAGTTCAGATGAAAAAAATTCCGATTTTCCGGATGATCGCATTTTGCCTGAGGAAGAGTATGAGAAGAATTATCGTACGAATGATGGCGGCGTGAATGGTGAGAAAAACTATCATTATTTAAGGAAGACAATCCTTCCATGTCCAAGAACAGTTAAATTGAATTGAATGCGACAATGTTGCATGTGTTTTGAATCTAACACCTTGCTCACAATTTGTTTGATACATTAAGAAAAAAATTGTTAAACCCCGTTCAGACGGGTTTGTAACGGGGTCCCCGCGCGACGAAAGCCCCGCGCGACAATAGCCCTGATACGAAATCCCCGCCATACCCGCGCACAGCTGTAACGAAAGCCCCGAACTTTTTTTCAGGACTGGTAGTCTTCCGTAGTCAGTTTGGTAGTCGTCATTGGTTAAACTTCATTACTTTGTTGAGGGAAGTACACAAGCTCTTGAAGATAAAAATGCATTTTTTTTCAACAATAACTAATTGAAACAAAACAAATCACAAAAGATTACAAAAAATTCAAGAAATCATTGGTTGAACTTCATTACTTTGTTGAGGGAAGTACACAAGCTCTTGAAGATAAAAATGCATTTTTTTTCAACAATAACTAATTGAAACAAAACAAATCACAAAAGATTACAAAAAATTCAAGAAAAAAAGAAAAAAACGGGAAAAGTTTTTATTTACAACAAATTAAGAGTCTTTGAAATATTTTCCAAGAAATCCAAACGTTCAATAAGTTGTCCAAACGTTCATGGCAAAATTGTTAAAGTTATATTGCAAAAAGTATTTGCGAGTACAGTACTGTGTATATGACGATTAAATCACTTTCTCAGGTCATACTGCACATGCTTTGATATAACTAATATTTGAGTATTTGTCAAGTGGTAATTTGTAAAAATGTCAACTTGGATAATCAGATAACTATAGTAAATGAATTGATGAAATCCGTATACAATTCAACGAATCCACGTGTGGAGCAGTATTTTTCAAAATAATTCGCTGCCTGAAACAAGATGCTGCATCAGTTGCTACAACGCTGAAGAAATTTGACGAAGATGGTGTCATTCCACATAAGCAAGTGTCAACTTTTGAGAGAGATCGCCAGAAAAAACTGCGTCAATTGTGCGAAGATTATCAAAGCCAACTTATTGAACGTTTGGATTTCTTGGAAAATATTTCGAAGACTCTTAATTTGTTGTAAATAAAAACTTTTCCCGTTTTTTTTCTTTTTTTCTTGAATTTTTTGTAATCTTTTGTGATTTGTTTTGTTTCAATTAGTTATTGTTGAAAAAAAATTCATTTTTATCTTCAAGAGCTTGTGTACTTCCCTCAACAAAGTAATGAAGTTTAACCAATGGCGACTACCAAACTGACTACGGAAGACTACCAGTCCTGAAAAAAAGTTCGGGGCTTTCGTTACAGCTGTGCGCGGGTATGGCGGGGATTTCGTGTCAGGGCTATTGTCGCGCGGGGCTTTTGTGTCCCAGGCTTTTGTCGCGCGGGGATAGTGACGGTTTCCCTGGTGGAAGTGGTCAGGTCAAGTTTGTTCAGACCAGAGGACCAGGGACATCAGTTATGAGGATGTCAGTATGGCAAGACCTGCACAAAGTTGCTGCTCACTTTCTGCCAAAAACTAACTAGTATGGAGAATACAACAAACTCCCAAGAATTTGCTATCCACACATTTATTCACAACAAGGCAGTGAATTTACAGTTTCCAACAAAGAGCAAGCTTGAGAGCTTATTTAAATCAAGCGCGGGTGCAAAGGAGTTAACATGAATGGTTTGCCTGCAACACAAAGACAAGTACATGGTCAAAAGTGAAACAGGACTGTCAGAAACATTGGAATACATTCCCCACAGTTGGGGAGCAACTTAGAACCACCCTTCCCAAAACCAAGCTCAGAGATGACTGGTTCTAAACCAGGTGGAAATCCCAAGTAAAGGAAAAAGGGGGTGGAAAATTTCCACCAAGGAAAGGAAGCCAGATCCCCTTAACAGCTTTCAAAACAAGGGTGAAAACAAGCTTGAGTCCCAGCAGCTGAATCTGCAGCTGCCTGGGACCCCTCCCTTCTAAATTTCCTTCAACAAGGGAATGTCATAGCTAAAATGGCTGACTCAAAGGTGCCAGCCTTGCCAACATGGCATTAATGTTGCTAACCAATAAAACATAAATGCATTGAAGCAGGAAATTCCCAATTCACCACAAATTGAACAAAATAAAACAATGGTGGAGATTTTCCCTCAGAACAATTCAGGAATAACTTCCCTCCTTAACACAACATTCAAAATGAAATACCTCAACTGAGGATTGGCACTGAAGTTGTGCAAAAGCACACTTCAAGTACTAGCAAATGACCAACACACAGTAATTTAGAGATAGGAGAAATAAGGCAGTCAAAACCTAATATTTGAAGGAAACTTCATTGACAAAAAATTCAAATTCTTTTGATCTCATGGTCTGTGAATGACTCTGCACTGGTGCCATCACCATTCCATCACCCTTCCATCACCTAGGTGGCACAACAGGGCCTGCCACAACTCCAGGTCATACAACGGGTGTCCTGGGACTGGCTCCCTTCTGTGACCTCAGGATCCACCAAAAATACCAAATTTTGATTTCTGCTTCAAAAATGGGTTTTAGGTCCTGAAAAACAACTGCCTGCCTATCAAATAATTTCAAATACAAATTCTACAGTCTCAGAGGAAATTGTAAGGTGCAGCTTCAACAAATATTTATAAAAGAAACTCACAATGTAAAATTACTTCAATGCATTAAAAACAGGCTACTTTTTTCTAATTTTTCAGCATAATCTGTGCACAATGCAGGAGAACTTATTTTGCTTTTTGCCTTTTTGGGCTAATTTTCATGCTAAAAGATCAGATTCTGCATGATTTTTGTCTGCACAGCTATATTCTGTATTTCAAAGTTCAGAAAATACTTTTTTCAAATTTTTTTTGACATTATTCCTGATTTTCAATGAACAGGAGAAGCAAGTAAATATGTTTCAATTGAAGTCCACTGTGAGAACGTATGATATGACATATGGATGCTTGGACATACCCAGTAAGCACAAAGTTCTCCAAAATATGTCCAAAACTCATCCAAAGGAGTTCCAAAAATTGAGTTCCACCAAAATTTTTTTAACTCATTTGGATTAGTTTTGGAGAACTTGTCTGCCAGAGGTGTTGGTATGAAACAAGATAAAAGAACTAGTCCTCCCAGGAAGTGGGCAATAGCTGTCTGACTAAGGGATTGGACTTTCAAGCAAGAGCTCCTGGGTTCCATTCCCATTCAGGATTGGAATGATTTACTGTAGGAAGTACGCCGCTAATTAGTACAATACCTGAGGTTAAATAGGATAGCTAATTTAATTTATGAATATGATTGATGTGAATTGAGGAGCAAAGGAAGAACAAAAACCCTGAAAAGAGGATTATTAACCACCTGGGATCAAAAATTGTTTGCCAAATGCAGCTGATGAAAAAAAAAATTAAATACATGTTCTGGAGGGAACTGGGACATCTCTTGGATAAAAATTGGACAACATGTCAGATTTTTATCCAAACTATTCCCAGATCCCTTCAGAACATGTCCATTTTGAGTCCAAAAGCCATTAAAAAGGAATTGACTGCTTTTTGATGAATTTTGGATAAAAATTGGACAAGATGTCCAATTTTTGCCCCAAACTTATCCAAAGCAACTTGTCCAAAACTTGTCTGTTTTTGGCAAGATTCTGGGATAAGTTGCTTTCGATAAGTTTTGGATCCAAAATGGACATTTTTGTGCTCACTGGGTATAGGGACAAGGTCCAAGCACCAATAGCATCCACATCTCCAGACCCCACTGCACATATTCCATTTGCTGAAAAATTATGACATGTAAGAGACTAAGAATGAAAAGAATATTCCACATATTTCTTTTTTTTTCACCTGCAAAACTGGTCGAGAAACCATGTGCAACTTTTAATAACGTATAATGTTAAGCACTGTATCCTACCTTTCAATTTTGTGCATTGTTTTTTATTTTTCAGGTGGTTGCCTTGGCCGTTTATACCTTTTCCTTGGCTTGCTTGCTGGGTCGTCAGTTTTTGCACCCGGAAAAGGCGCCAGTTGACCTAGTTTTCCCCTTCTTCACTGTTCTCCAGGTGAAGCATCATCCAGTGATCTGAAAGCGTAAACAGGATAGACATTTTTTGGCAGGATGATAGTGTTTTATTGACATGCAGTTCTTCTCGAGACTTTATTGGATGAATGCGCTCCTTTCCTCCCCCCAGTCCTCAATTAACACGAGCGGCTTTTTCTTTCGGCGATGAGCATCATTTTGTTATAATAATCTACAAAACTTTGCACATAGTGTTCCAAGCACATGTTTGAATGCCAAATTGATGTTATAGTTCATTTTCTCAAGTTCAATTGCAATTTTTTCCAATTCGGCATGTTGTCAAAAGGAATATTTGAACAGCATTGAATTTGTTATACAAAAAATCTTGTTATATCACAGTTTTCATTTTCACGAATTTGTTCTTATTCTCAAAAGCTTCTTCATAGGATCAATGTTACAATAATCTAATTTGAATGAGTTCATTGTCAGCTGAAATCCTATGAAAACAAATTTCTGCCATTTTGTGTTTTTATGAAAAATTATTGGCCACTTTTCACGAAGGGGCCTTGATAAGGGTGAATTATTTCATCATTTGAAAAAGTAGGAAAATTTTAATTATTTTCTTCTCACTGTCAAATGTTCAAATGAAGCTGCATGTGCTGCATGTGTATGTTTCTGCAAAAAAATGAAATTTTTAACAGCAGATATGGAATCCCGCTGTACCAAAAAAAATGAATTAAAAAACTTGATGGGAAACACGAGGAAATTTTGTTTAAGTGAACCCGAACTGACACTTATTGCGCTGTTGAGTCAATTTTTGTGCTGAAATTTTCTCTCATTCTCTTGGATATTTTCCCCCAGTTGGTGTTCTACTGGGGATGGTTGAAAGTTGCAGAAGCCATGATTGATCCGTATGGAGAAGACGACGCAGACTTCGAACTCAACTTCTACATTGACAAAAATCTCAGCACATCTTACGTCATTGCCGACGAGGCAATGCAAGCCGATTTCCCGGAGCTTGTCAAGGATGCCTTCTGGGACAAGGTTATGATAATTACTATATTATTTCAATCATCAGGCCAACTCGAACCTTCCCAAGTCAAAATTGTCAAGTTCCTGTTTGAATTCCATTAAAAAAAATCTATTCTGAACCTTCGTAATTTGAAGGCTTATCTCCTCAAACCCCCATCATAACTTGAAATTTCTGGAAGCCTTTTGGCTATTATTTTATTGGGCACCCAGGAAAGAGAAAAACGGTGAAAATGTAACATGATGAGTTTTGAAAGAAAGTGAAGAGTAATATCGCAAATAAATCATTGTCTGCAAATAAAGCAACCTTTCAACTGATTTAGGAAGCAATTTATGACCCAGAATACCACCAAATGACATTTCCTGCAATTCTTGAATCATTTCTCTCCAATAAAACTGCAGTTCCCCTGAATCAAAAACCTCTCCAACTCTTGATTGTTCAGCTGATGCCTTGAAGTTTGACTTTGACAGTATACAGTGTAGTGTTACTATTATTTTGAATTTAAAAACGAAGGCGTCCCTGGTGTCCACGCTTTTTTTTTTTTTTTTGTGTGTCTCGTTTCGGTTCACAGACTGTTCCTGAACACCTGCCCCACACGGCGGCGTCCAAGGAGTCCGAGCCGGACGCCGTGGACCTCACGGGCCTCATGGAAGACTTGCCGCCGACCATATCCAAGTGGCGCCAGTCGGAAGAGACGGGTCCGCGGAGACGGCGCCTGTCCAAGCGCAACATTGTGAACTCGATCCGACGTCGGAGTCGCGGCGCCGCTCGTCGCTTTGCCTCCATAGGCGCCATCCACGAGGTGGACGAGCCACGGCTCTGCGACGGCGGCGATGTGGAGCTGCAGGCCGAGAAACTCGACGCATTCCGGAGTCTATCGGTTTGTGCGAGGGATTTTCCTCTTTCATCATGATTATCATCATCATTATTACTACCACAGTGTCCCCCAACATATTTTCAGGTCCACGGGAAGGCCATACAATTTTTTGTAGACGAGTAAAGTTCAAAAAAATGTTTGCAGACTGGAGAAAGCTTGTCTGAAGCATAACTACCATGAAAGCCAATTTTCAATTTCCACCACATAATGTCAACTGCCATTAAATTCCTGAGATTTCAGACCATGATAACATACTTCATTAATATCCCTAAAATATATCACTATGCCAAAGACAATTTCCCCAAGAACCAACGAAATTACTGTTTGTGGACCAGTGCCAGTTTACAGACCATATATTGCAGACCACTGCACTATGAAACCTTCATCAAGAGCTTCTGATGCTTGAAACTTTCCTACAAAGGCTTGGGAAACAATGTATTAACAGGAGTACCATACACACTCAAGAGATGCACCCCAATTTTCCACCCTGAAGTTTTAATTTGATCCTATTCCCAAGTGAAAAGTGCACCCTATTTCCAATAATTCCCAAACAGCAATACCGTGGTGCCTTGCCTAGCCAACACAATTTTTCTTATCCTAAACTGCCTGAGAAGGACCAAATTAATGATAAATGCATCAAATGTCTTCTTTGCTTTTCAACCTCTTGAATTCCTTTGGTCTTTATTTGTTAAGATAACCTGATGTTGAGAAGTATTACTCTCATGGCCAGGGTTTTTCCAAGTGAATCCACTTCTCAATATAAAGATAAAGATGTATCTTCAATTCAATCCCAAGTTCTAACAGTGACAATGCAGACCAAACCAGCAACGAGCGCCAAAAGATTGCTTGGACCCTCATTTAAAGATTCATTGGATGCATGAGACGGGTGCATTATGGCACATAGAATATAACAAAAAGTAAACAGAAAATTCTGACCATCCAATCAAAGTATTTTGCCATTTATTGAAACTGGCTTTCCATAAACCTTGGTACAGATACCAAATAATCATCATATTTCATTTTAAAATTCAATACAGTGGTACCTTGCACTGCAAACGTAATCCATTCCAGGGCTACGTTTGTAGTACAAAACGTTCGTTATACAAAACACGATTTCCCATAGACTTGTATGGGAAATTGTTTAATCCGTTCCAGAAAATTTGAAAAAATCAAAATTTTTTTTTAAGAAAAGGAAAAAAGCAGTTTTGTGTCTCAAACGGTAGCTTTCTACAGTGGCATGATTAAAAGGATAAAATGAGGCTTTAATATAAATTTTATGGAGGGAATAATAACAGGTTAAAAAAAATTTTTCAAGGGGATTATGCTTATAGAAAAATTTCTTTGAAAATGGATTTGGCTTTGAGCATAACCCCTGCAATTAAAATTCTAAGCTTGAGGTTTGAAAAACACATCCACAGGTTGAAATCATCAATGCACACATTTTTCAACATTGCATCTAGGGGGTTATGCTCAAAGCAGAATTTTTTTGAAAATTTGTCTGCTGTGAGCATAGCTCTCTTAGAAACAATGAATGTTGAAAAAATCTAAGGGGTTAGGCTCACTTGGAAGCCATTTTTGACCCTGCAATGAACACTTTCTGAGAAATTGACTTGAGCCTACAATTTTGAAAATTTTGGGGGGAAATCCAGATGAAACTTTAACTTCAAAGACAATTTTCATCTCAATATTTTTAGGAAATCTGAATTGCAGGCTTTAAAAATTATTCCAAGACAGTTATGATCACAGAAAAAAATATTTAAAGGCTTGGGTTGCTCTGAGCATAACCCTGAAATTCAAGAGGTGATTCTCAAAGCAACCCTTATTTTCAAAGATTTTTTGCTACAATCGTAACTGCTGCAGAATAATTTTTAACCCCTAAAATCTAAGAGGTTATGCTCAAAGCTGAGCATAACCCTGAAATTCAAGAGGTAATTCTCAAAGCAACCCTTATTTTCAAAGATTTTTTGCTACAATCATAACTGCTTCAGAATAATTTTTAACCCCTAAAATCTAAGAGGTTATGCTCAAAGCTACCCTCACTTTCAAAGATTTGTTTCTTTGATCATAACTGCCTCAGAATAATTTGTAAAGCCTGCAATTCAGATTTCCTAAAAATATTGAGATGAAAATTGTCTTTGAAATTAAAGTTTCATCTGGATTTCCCCCCAAAATTTTCAAAAATGTAGGCTCAAGTCAATTTCTCAGAAAGTGTGCATTGCAGGGTCAAAAATGGCTTCCAAGTGAGCCTAACCCCTTGGATTTTTTTCAACATTTATTGTTTCTAAGAGGGCTATGCTCAAAGCAGACACATTTTCAGAAAAATTCTGCTTTGAGCATAACCCCCTAGATGCAATGTTGAAAAATGTGTGCATTGATGATTTCATCCTGTGGATATGTTTTTCAAGCCTCAAGCTTAGAATTTTAATTGCAGGGGTTATGCTCAAAGCCAAATCCATTTGCATAGAATTTTTTCTGTGAGCATAACTTCCATAAATGAAATGTAAACAAAATTGTGGATTGATGATGTAAACCTGTGAATTTGTGTTTGAAACCTTTGAACAGAAATTCACAGGTTTACATCATGAATTCGTGTTTTAAACATTTAAACACAAATTCACAAGTTTAAATCATCAATCCACAATATTTTTCACATTTCATCTAAGGAAGTTATGCTCACAGCAAAAATTCTCTGCAAATGGAATTTTTGCTGTGAGCAAAAGTCCCTGGANTTTCACATTTCATCTAAGGAAGTTATGCTCACAGCAAAAATTCTCTGCAAATGGAATTTTTGCTGTGAGCAAAAGTCCCTGGAAACAAATATTTTTTAACCTGCAATCTACCCTCTCTAGAAATTTTAATTAAAGCCTAATTTTAAAACTTCAACATTAGTCTTAAGTCAACCCTAAGGGGGTTTTTTTTAGCAGAACCCCCTTAGATGCACTGTTTTAATAAATTTCAATCTGATGAAGAAAAAAGTCTGCAGAGAGTGGCACAGTAGGATTTACCTGGATTTTTTTATGCATTTTTGGGATTACTGATTTAAAAAAAAATTCTGTGTTAAATAAAATTCTTTTCTTCCCCATCAAATACTGTATTAATATTGTGTATGATTGTTGCTATTTTTCAATTTTTTATGGCAATAATAGAAATTTTCAAAAATTTTCGATTTTTTCCGATTTTTTAGGTAAAAAAAAACGTTTGTTATGTGAAAATCGTTTGTTCTACTGGGCTGAAAATGGCGGATTTTTGCAAAAAAAAATGTTTGTTATGCGGAACATTCGCTCTATGAGGTGTTCGTTGTGCGAGGTACCACTGTACTAAAGTCTTTGCCAGACAAAAATAGTCTTTATTCAAATACGCAGTATACACAGTTAATCAATTAACTACAAGACACATCAGGGATCTGATGACTTCTGAGCTGAACTGTCTCCTGAGCTACAATGCCCATCTTCCTTAATCCTGCCAGGGGTTTATATACCGCAGGATTTGGGGGTACAATCAGAAGGGGAGTAGGACACCTGTGTGCGCGTGTGCAGGTGTCATTTTAACCACATCCACGCGCTGGGGGTTACTGCGCAGTTAAGGGGTTGCCATGCGCTGGGGTTGCTATGTGTGCATTGTCAGGGATACACGTGTTGGTCAGTACACGTGTACTGGGATGGGAGAATATTAATATAGTTTATATATTAATCTATTATCTCTTCCTGGTGTTATGAATAACAACAAGAATATCACCAAATATCTATATATGCTTGACAGCAAATATTCTCGCAATATATATTGGGGAATTATTATATAATTTCCACCGATAACAAATGTATTATATGTCATCTGGACTTGAAACTGGAACTCTGTTTCCTACAAATATACACGTACAGTCAAACCTCTCCAAGTCAAATTTCAATGAACCAACACAAAAATTTGACATCAAAGAGATCTCAAGTTAGGGGGATTTTGAGTTAGGGAAACAAGCATTTTCATTGCGGGCAAGAAAGAAGAATTTCAGGACATTGTACATGGTGATCTGCAAGTCTGTCAGAAACTTTTCTGCACATGGGCCAAGTATAGGTCCACTAGGAACTACAAATGCTTTTTTGTCCATACAGCTGCCAGGAAAAGAATGAAATACTGTATCTTTAAACATACTTTCACTACATTGTAACTGGTTTCTGATTCTCCACATTTTAGCATTCATTCTACCAACAGTATCCATTTCATTCATGAGCCTTCTGTTCATGAAATACATTTTTTCATCTTTATTTTCCTTTTCAAGACCTACATGTGCTCACTTCAGACATGAGCTATTATTTTGTGCAAAGTTTTCAGGCATTCACTTTTCAATGTTACCAAACAGGGAAGTACCATGCATTAAGAATCCATTAGATCCTCCAAACATACTGTACAATAGTTCTAGTGCAGTGTAGCCCATTGATTTTACAAAAGTGACCAAATACAGTACAGTGCTTATATTTTGCTGCAAGTCTAACATTTTTGCAAACATTCTTCTGGAAGATTTCCCAAGTCTTTGAGCATCTGAAAATTTGGCCATGTCTGCTTCCACATGAATAATACCTTATGTTACATGGAACTAATTTTATAGTTGAAACATAATTATTCATTCTTGGTGGAATGGAATGACATTTTTTAACAAGTGATGTACAGTGTCTTGAAAAGTGGGATGTTACATTTCATGCATTAAGAAAGTCATTAACAATCCTTTTGGGGTGTAGGATTCATGAAAGGACATTTTAGGTGCTTTTCAGTCAAAAATACAAAATGGCCCCAGGTTTGTTGCTTGTCCAAAACATCATCCACTGGTACACAAAAATATTTACCCTTAACTCAGTAGGCCTCAGACCCAAAAGGTTGGTGAATACTGTTTCATTCTGCCAACTTCATTGTATCCATATAATGCAGCAAATATGTTGATGCATTGTTTTCATGGTTTACAGAATCCGCTTGTGGTAAGCCTGCTGATGATGACCAAGATGATGGCTTTGTTCTGCTACAACCTGAGGCTTCTCTGGCATTAGTGGATGAAAAGCAGTTCATAGGGAAGAAAGTTGTGCCTTTCCTACTTGGACTGGAAGCAAGTAAAGTCAACCTTTCAGCAGAACAATGTACAGCAATCAAGGAAATGAAAAGAATTCTGAATGCGCACACCATAGCACCACCATATGAAGATTTTTTCAAGTACATGCCAGAGAATCAGAAGAAGTTTGGATTTTCTGACAAGGAGATGAAAAATGGCATGAAGAGGGCTTCAGAAATTTACCGTCAAGTGTATGAGGCCCATTTTACTGATACACTCGCCTTATTTCAGAAGCTGTTTGAAGAGGATGTCTTCTACAAAGAGCAGCAGTGGGACTTTGAGGTTGTGGAGTTAGGACCACTCCCACACAAAGTAACCCCATCTGCAAGTAAGCAGGCACAAGAAAATCACAATGCTGGAAATTTGTCATCACTGTTTGATCATGAGAAGGAACTGGACAACTTGATCAGCATAACTAGGACTGAAGTGCTTGGAAAATTTGATGTTCCAGTTATTTATGTGGCCAATGGATTGTCCATTCGTCTGGATGATCACCACATGTTCCTGAGTGCTGTGGAAAAGGTTCTGAGAATGCATCCACCATGGAGAAAGAATGATATTACCTCCAATGAAGCAAAGGCAGCATTTCATGACATTTGCAGAAGGATGTTTTGGCCTGGACCAACATTCAAAGCAATTAAGAATCCAGTCAGACGTAATTTATTTGGCGGAAATTCTAAAAGATCAGGTTTCAATGCCATGCGTCATGATACTATGCTGAGTAAGTACCTTTTTTTTACCTACAACATTCTACATTGTGTCACATGTTCAAAGGAATGTCATTTACACTTACAGGATACATGGAAGCTGTGTATGAATTTGTGAGGAAGTCCATTCAAGATAAGAAGAAACCCAAAGAGGACTTGCTGAAGCACAACATCCCTACATTTAAAAGTGTCAAGAAAGAAATCATTGACATGCTCCGTGGACGATTAATGCACATCAGAGCTGCAGAGAACATTGCTGTTGTGGCCAAGATTGGTGCAAGTTTTAAGTGGTACAAAAGTGTTTGGGTTAATAGATCAGGAACAAATAAAATGTTTCCAGATTTCAATGGAAAGACCCTTGCCTCCGCTGCAAAAAGAATAGGGGAAGAGCATGATTCTGATGATGATGATGATGAACTACTTCTGGTGTCATGAAAACTGTAAGAAACATTTTTCCACAATTTGATACTTTGTTTTTTTCAAACCATTTGTGACTGAAATTGTTTGTGTGTCATAGAAGTTGGGGATCTGGAAACTTTGTATTCCTTAATTAATCCTGGTGTTGATTGCTACAGTGTTCTCCAACTTTTTTGGTACCACTGACCAGCAAATTCCCATAAAAAATGTTTGCAGACTGGCAAAGTTGAAACAAATTTTGCAGACAGGAAATACTTTTGTTTGGAAGACTTCACAGCAGATATTTTATAAGTTTCTGCTTGTTTGCAAAAGTTAAATTGAAAACCAATGGATCAGCTGTAGTTAAACATATTTGAAAAAATCAGAAAGGTGGGCTTGAGAAAGGTTTCTTGGTGGAAGATTAATGTGATGTTTTTCAAGCAATGAAAATTTTTTGAGCGTTATTAGGAGAAAATCCAACTTTCATTTTTCATGAGCCAATTTAAACTATCATTGTCTTTTCAAAGTTTCAGACAAATAACAAACTTAATTGATAATGTTATCATGTACTGTATAAGAAAACTTCATGTGGACCTGCAAAAAAACTTCTGAGGACCATGTAGGTTGGGGAACACTGCATGACTATATTACATGAACATCATGCAATTTTCCTTCTATTACAGATTGAAAGAAATGGGGATTATTCCAATAAGGACTGGGAAGTGAGTGACACTGTGCATACCATTATTTTCCTGCATTGGTTGACATGACTTCTCAAGAAAACCTTTGAAGGACTAGCAGACCAATTTCAATTTTCACAACATTCTGATGATCCTTTTGATGATTATTGAAATTTGTCTGCTCTGATGTCCCATTCTGATCATTGGAAAGGACTGTTACATTCCAAATATCTGCATATGAATGAAAAGGAAAAGTCCTGCATGCTGTGTCCTTTTTTGAAGTGTGATGTTCACCTTTTCATATTGTACTTGCATTCCGAGTGAACATGACTTTGGCATGTTTTTTAAGTACTGTGGCAACTTTGTGTTCCCTTGGAACCTGTCCCCATCTGTGTCAGGCTCCTGATGGAACTCTGGTCACTATTTGTGACATGTGAATACATACCTCTACAGAACATAGCATTGACATGTTTTGAGACTTTAAAATGCTCTTATGCCTGCTACAATGTGTTATTGATTATTTAATTTTTGGACATTATGCAAAAATAATGAAATCACCAATTTATGTATCCTTCAAACTTGCAGCACTTCAAAGTAACACTCTGACAAATGATGTTTCTCCATTTCCTTGCATGATGCAACAAGACTTGCCATCAACTTCAAGGGATTCCACTGCAGAAGCACCCATGATTGTGTATGACAGCAGAATTGCAGGGGATACACATGTGCCCATCACAACCTCAAACACCTCATGTCAGGATGATGCACAAACTTGTGAGTACAGTACAACAATATTAAAATAACTCATTTCCCCAGAGGTGATGTTATACAAGCAATGTACTTTTCAATTTTCAGTTGAACTCCCTGCAAGTTTTCAAGTCAATAACTCAGAATGCAGGAACAGTGTGATTGGTGCATATGAATCTTCTTCTTCAACTGGAAACTTCTCAGCAGCATTGGATGAAAGGCCAAGTTTGCTGCCATCCAACCTTGACTCTGTTTATACTAAAGGCATTGCAAAAGTCATGGCTGGTATATGAAGAACCTCAGAGGATTTTCAATCATTTGAACCTAATCAAAGTATTTGTTCATGAACAGAGATGACTGCAGGCACTGAAAGAATTCTAGATGCAATCAGAGCCATGCACAATGATGTACTGAAAGCTGTAGAAGATCAAAGGAGCTCAAATAGGGCAGTTATGGGAAAGTTTGCAGAAACTCAAATGCTGATTCAGCTGAAGGGCATACATAAGCTGGCATCACCACATGTACAAATGGCTCAAGGCAAATTTAGTGCTGAAGGTGAAATTGTTAACTTCCTACATTTTTTTGTGCATTGAATTATAAAATTATCATTTTGTGAAATTCACACCATGCAGTTGAAGACCTGGATCCTCGACTGAAGATTCCAGTGAAAACAAGGAGAGCACTTGTGGAAATTGATGGTCTTTTGATGGATGCAAACTTGAGAAAGAATATGGTTTGTGTGATATTTTTCCTGTTATTGAAATGTTTTTCATTCATGAAATGTTTCCATGTGCTGTAGATACTTTGGATTGAGAAAAACTGGAAGCCCCCTTCAGGAAGAAAAGCCATGGCTCTCTTCATGCGCAATTTCTTTCATCAAAGAATGATGACTCAAATCTACTGTTGCAATTCCAAACCAAATGGCCTCCAAGGCAGAGGTTTGTGATTTATTTCAGTATTTCCTGACATTTGAGTTACCTAATACTGTATTCTCTGACAAATGCCCTCAGAGTTTCTTCAAAATATTAGACTGTTCTCCTTGCATTATAATGGAAATCAGCTTTCATTGAAAACCAGGGCTGATTTACTATTGTCAAGGCTGTCAGAAAAGGGAAGGAAAATGGGAAATACCCAAGTGAAATATAAATTGAAATTTGTTTGCAACTTTTTCTTGGAAAATGCAAAAGGAATGCCTCAAGAGTTTATAATGTGAAAAGGAGTTTCATACCTGGATGTCAAGGGTTTTTTTTTACATCAAGAACATTCTCAGAATTCTTCTCATCTTTGACCTGGCTGCAATATTTGAGACTGGGTATTTGCTTCAAGCTCTTCTTTGGGCCCAGCTTCATTGGAGTAAACATGGTGAATAATGTTTGACATGACATGAAATGTATTGACTGTCTCTTTTTTTTTAAATAAAAATGCAGATCCTCAGCTAAGGACCATCACAAGCATTGAAGAACGTGACTCTCAAATATATACACCTGAACAGGATGATCCTGAAATTCAGGACTATGATGCAGTTCCTCTCAACCTTCAACACCGTTTACAACAGGAGCATCTGCGCATTGTGAGTTACCATGGATTTAAATTGTGTACCAAAATATATATTACTTTAATTGTGCAATTGCCTATTTTTTCATTGTTGAACAGCCTCTGAACAAACTTCCTGGGTTTTATGCTGCTGTGGAACAGTATGCAGCTTTACATTTGACAGCTGCAGAGATGGATAAAATAAGGTGAATATTATTTGGATTGACTCGAAATAAAGTGTGAACTTGATGGATCTAATTGTTGGTGTCCAATAATTTGCAGATCACACATGAATAAAACAATCAGGGAATGCAGGAATGCTGAAAGAACAGCAAGGATTGGAAAACAGATGAGGGATGATGAAGATGACAACACTAAACCAGATTTTGAGGTTGCTAAAAGTTCAAAGCTCACAAAATGTATCTTCATTCACAGTAATGGTGAACATAGTGAATTGGAAAGCCAATTGACTCAAGTGTACTTGAAGCTTGGTGATGATAAAGATAGGAATTTCTGATTGTGTGTATGAAATGATGGCTGGTGTTGCCTAATTTTCAAACTTTTGTTGTTTTTGAAACTTCCCTAGCTGCTTTCATGAATGGGTAATTTTGATTTTGTATGCATAAACTTTTGTTACTCTGAATTTTTTTTACTTTCATTTCAATTGTGCTTCTGAATCAAGTGCATGCATTGGTACCATTACCATCACTTTATAAAGTTCATTTGACTTTGGTGATAAGCTTCAAATTTACATGGCACTCGTGAGTGAATAGATGAAATCTTATTTTAAATACATTGCTGTATTGAAGGTTTATATTTAAGCATTGATGGTGATACAGTGGGAGCCTCAGAAGCAATATAACAATTATATACTTGTAATACCAGCAACCAAATAACTTATGAACATAATTTGCATTTACAGTATTTTGTTTGCAATGGCTTCTCACACTCCATCCTGCAGAATGAGAGCAAAATATTCAAATAGGGTATTATTGTGAATTGAGTACATGGATCTCATTATATGCAGTATGTGAAGGTATTTCCTTAGCTTTCCAAATTATGTTTATTCCTGATTTTGGGAAACAAATGTGTTGATAATTTTACTCATTCTGTGATGTGTTCTTGTCAGTACAGGTGGTACCTTGCAATTCAACCCTAATCCACCTTGTTTTTTCCTGTCTTCATTCTCTATTTTTTTTTACATTTTCTTGAAGGATTCATTTGAAATGAGCAGACAATTCCAAAATACAGTACAGTATTGTACTTCATTTCATGCAGGATTTCTGTTTAATAAAGAACAATTGAACACAAAGAAAACTGAGGTGTCCATGGAAGACATGCTTTTCCCAATCATCTGTATCCTGCTGGAGAGGAAGTTTAGCCATTGAGGACTCCTCCTCACTAAGAAAGAGCAATTATATGAATCTATTTTGTTCCATTATATTATTTGTGATCAATTTTTCACTTATCCTAAAAATGTTGGAAATATTACTGTTCAATTTTTTTGTTTTCTCAGAAATTTTTCTTCAGAAGAGTGTTCAAAGATGTCTTTGATGCTGGAATGTTAATTGTAATACAGGTGGAGTCTCTCTACAACAATTTTTTCTGTATGACAAATCTTTTGTGATCAAATTGGGAAGGTTATGGACTTATGGCACTTCCCTGATCATTGTAATTTTGTCAATACTCAAGATATTTAAAAGTGTGGCAAACATCATGGTGCTTTTTATAAAGTTTTCAAAAGTAATTTTTATCAAGAAATAAATTGTTGCCACATTTGTGAAGTTGGCAAAACGGGAAATTTAATTTTAAAAAAATTCCATTTTGTTCAGTTTAGCTCATTGTAATTTTTTAAACATTCTCTTAATTTCAAAAATCTTGCAAGAGTATGTGGGCATGGTTGTTTTATGAATTTAGATTTTTTTTAAATGGTGCAAAAGGGGCAGATAAAATTGAGAAAGTAAAATTCTTTTTTTTCAATTTCCACACAGTTTTGAAAAATCTTCCTACATTTTTCATTGTAACTTAGTCAATTATTAGGCAATTTCAAAATTAAAATGAAGCAAATGTAGCAAACATCATGGCACTCCTTGTACAGTTTTCAAAGTGAAGTTTGCACCAAAATTCATTTTTTGACAAATTTTTAAAGGCAAGGCAACCAGAAATGGGACTGTCCAGCAGGCCTCTCTTGGGTCTCTGTGGGAGGGAGTTTTATTGGGAGGTTAGGGCAGTGCTGTAACCTGGCAGTGAGTTACTGCCAGGTTACAGCCCTCCAATAACCTTGCAGTAACTTACTACAAGGTTATGGAAGATAAAATCTGTAACCTATTTCTAGACTCTTTTGCAATCATAATCATACCCTTCAAGGTGTAGGGCTTGGCAACTTTCCTTTCTTCTCATCCATAAAACCATACAGCAAAGGTCTGCATGCTTTCCACTCAGAATAAGATGAGGCGCCCTTCCTGCAGATTTTATTGTTGTTGCCCAGCTTTCCCCATCCACAGAATTCTGCTAATCAACATGGCATTAATTCCAAGGGTTGTCTCCCAGGTCTTATGAGGCAGTAACTCCAAAAATAAATCCAATAAAATATTGGATCATACAAATAATATTATTTGTATGATCCAAAAAGGTGAAAGTTGTCCTCAAAGGTCAAGCTGGCCTCAAATAAGTTGGTTATCAGGCACAGGAAGTTGGCCTCAAAGAAGCTCAAGGAACCCTTTTTCAGGTGGGATAAGCAGGGTAAATTACTTCGAAGTTCACCCCAGCAGAAACCCATCTTGATGGAGTCATTGTTTTGTACCGCAAAATCGTTCCCTCATATGTACTGGGATTGGTTCAATGTTGAAGTTTGAACAAATAACCATGTTGAAAGCTGGCATGCGGCTCTAAAAAATTATTTTGAGAGGCCTCATCCTAATTTTTGGCATTTTGTTAGAAGTGTGTATGGGGTTTGGTTGAAAACAACATTGAAACTTGTTGACAGGGAGTTAGGTGGTCCACTTCCCGGTAAGAATCCCGAGTATATTGAAAAGTCAAATAGAATTCGTCAGCTGTTCAGCAAATTTCATTTGCGCAACTATCCCCGTTCTTATATTGAGAGCATTGCGTAAAGTACACCGGACTCTGTAGTTATGAAGAAAGATCGAAAAGCTGCAAAAAAAAGCAGCTGCTGGTGATAATCATTGAGATTTTCGGCGTTTTTTTCTCTCTGTTTTTACTGCACTGAACCGTACCTCAGATTGTTTGTTATTACCGTATCAATTTTTAGTTTTCAGTTTGTTATTTCATGAATTTGTTGGAAATAAAATTGTTTTTTAACTTCCCAGCTGTTTTCTTTGTTCCACACAAAGGATAGGTCGAAAGCTTGGCGCGCGAGATAGGGATTAAGTCATGGGTCAGAGGTACTAGGAAGATCCGTCCCAAGCGCATTCCGTCCCAAACGGTAAGCCCTTTAATCCCCTTTGTGGTTGGGGTGCGCGCCACCCAAACTGACCAGCTTAATTCTTTTGTGATTTCTTGGAACCTGTGGCAGCTTTCCCTGACTTTTGACGCAATATGAATTTTTGAATTTATTTAAAAATATTAAATTGTGTTCCCTCTCAAAAAAAGGAAGAAAACGATACCAAATAACATATGCTTCGAAAATTTTATAGGAAGCAGAAAAAAAAACCCCTGACCACCCAGGTTATGTTTTCTATATCTTGAAACAGGCGGCAGCTTTCCATGAATTTTGGCGCCATATGAATTTTTGAAACTCTTTGAATTTTAAAAATTGTTTTCCCTTTCAAAAAAACAAACAAAATAATACCAAATAACCAAGGTTTTAAAAAGTTACTGTGAGGCACAAAAGAAATATGAACACATTGCTGCTTTAGGGAGGGCTTCAACAAGAAAATATATAGGGCAGTGGAATGTCATTTTCAGATGCTAAATTAGTGTTTACAAATTTTTGTTGCAGATGAATGAATGCTAGATGTTGAGTGAAAAGTGACATGAACACTGCAGAAAAATGTTGGCTCCAGCTTTAGGGTTATTGAGTTGAAGTTTAATTTTTACCCATTCTCAAGGCAGTTTCTGAACAGGGTTTGCTAGTAGAATGCGTAAGCCTTAAAGTCATGCAAAGACAAAATTTATTTGTCTCTCCAAACAAGCATCATATACAGTGTCAAACAATTATATTGGGTTAACACAGGTGCACAGTCACCTTCAAGTTAAATAATAACACTGATAAGAAAAATCAGGTTTTGGTGGGCCTGTACAGGTGTAGATGAGAAAAGGCACCAGACTGTTTCATTGGTACATTCATTGTTTACAGTTTTATTGCAAAGTTATTATAATTTTTTAAACTGTATGAGTGGGGTATATAATGAAAATTAGTAATTGTCAAACTCATATCAGTAAGTACTTAAATGTTAGCATCTGACCACAACATTCCATATTCTGTTTGTGCACCCTGTTCAGAAACTGCCTTGAAAATGGGGGAAAATTCAACTTCAACTTAATAACCCTAAAGCTGGAGCCAACATTTTTCTGCAGTGTTCATGTCACTTTTCACTCAACATCTAGCATTCATTCATCTGCAACAAAAATTTGTAAAAACTAATTTAGCATCTAAAAATGACATTCCACTGCCCAATATATTTGCTTGTTGAAGCCCTCCCTAAAGCAGCAATGTGTTCATATTTCTTTTGTGCCTCACATTAACTTTTTAAAACCTTGGTTATTTGGTATTATTTTGTTTGTTTTTTTGAAAGGGAAAGCAATTTTTAAAATTCAAAGAGTTTCAAAAATTCATATGGCGCCAAAATTCATGGAAAGCTGCCGCCTGTTTCAAGATATAGAAAACATAACCTGGGTGGTCAGGGGTTTTTTTTTCTGCTTCCTATAAAATTTTCGAAGCATATGTTATTTGGTATCGTTTTCTTCCTTTTTTTGAGAGGGAACACAATTTAAAATTTTTAAATAAATTCAAAAATTCATATCGCGTCAAAAGTCAGGGAAAGCTGCCGCCGGTTCCAAGAAATCACAAAAGAATTAAGCTGGTCAGTTTGGGCTGCCCCAGCTTAAGCTGGCCACCCGAACGACAAAGGGGATTGAAGGGCTTACCGTTTGGGACGGAATGCGCTTGGGACGGATCTTCCGTACGCGGGGTCGGATGCTCGTCTTGGAAAAAGGAGAGGATTAATAAGCTCATTAAGAAGGGTTTTGGAGGATAGGTCGAATTCACGTAGGTCGGATGCTTGTCACCCATTGTGAAATTCTGTGAATATTAGATTTGTTGTGAAGATCAGACCTCTTTGAAATCTCTTGCGAGTTGTGACATATATACCAATCCTTCTCTGGGTGAAAACCACAGCCACTGCCCTACTAATTAATTGTGCATTTAATTCTGATTTGTGGGCATCATATTTCACAACATTTGGTGCATTGTAAAAATTGAGATTGATCCATGTTCAGTGCTGAAGGAGATTGAATTACTTGAACAGGCAAAGAAATGCGGCTGGTAATTAAATATGTCCCCTTGACATAGATAGAAAGCTTTTTCCCATGGTCATAGCTTTGGCAAAATTATTCGAATAATCGCTCATGACGCGATATAAGTTGAATTGTCAAAGGCTTGAAATGAGCGTTTTTGATTTGGCACCTCATCTATTTGTATGTGTTTAAAGTAATACAATTTGGTAAAGCACATATAACTCTAAAGCAATTGATGGTTTGCTGTGCAGAAATTTTGTACCGCCGAACAGAAAGTGCAATTCAACGGTCGGCTGTTTTTCCTCTTGCGATAAAATCGTAATAAAGTACTGCTCACACATTTTGCTCAGAACGAAGTTTGTCTTTTACTCGTGCTTCATGGTCGGGTCCTGTGCAGAAGATGAATATACAAATGGTATGATCTACTGATGGTTCCTGGAGTGAGTTGGAGAGTCAATACGTTCTTTTGGTGAGAGTACTGTATATATAGGTGTCGCGTGAATCTCAAGCCCGGGCGCCGTTAATTTTCCGGAATTCGAAGTTGAAATATTCGAAAATGGTATTTGCAATTTATTGAGGGACATTTTCCGCGTAAAAAATCAATTACCTTTTACTTGAATTATTCAGACAATTCCTTAAGGCACGCGCTGAGAACCGACACTCATCGGATATTTTGGGTTGGTTATAATGGTTCAAATTGTTCTTGTTTAGTTTTGCTTCAGGAGGATTCGTCCCTAAGGAAATCGTACCCGGAGAATTCGTCCTGCTGCTGGGTACAGTAAGGCCTCACGTCTGTGGATAGTCCTTGACAGACATTAAAACCTTACTGTACTCTTAGAAGTGAGATTCATGACAATCGGACCCCGCGGAGGCAGGGGCTGTTTGACAAGGGGCGGGGCAACCATGCAGCAGAGCATGACACGACGTTATGGTACAACTTCCACTCAACGCAGCTCCATTCAACGCTACCTCTTCCACGCCACCCCTAGGAGCGCCAGCCTCTCATTGAGTGACTTCGACTGCAATGCTTAGCCGGTGTAAAATGTAAACAGAGACTCCAAGAGACGAATAACATAATGCACATATAAAAACACCTTTTTTAAATAAATAAAATATATGGTACTTTCCTGTTATCTCTGTACCTCATTTCTAGACCACACTCTACCATCCAGACAAATCTTTAGGACAAATTCATGAACACAACATCAGATGGGAATTTTATTTTTCTGCATTCTGCTGAAACTGATTTTGGGAGGCGGTTAGGTAAAGTTAGGTTAGGTCAGGTTATGTTAATTAAAAGATATTTGGGAGGTGGTTATGTAAAGTTAGTTTAGGTCAGATTATGTTAATTAAACAATATTTGATACTTGGGAGGTGGTTAGGTAAAGTTAGGTTAGGTCAGGTTATGTTAATTAAAGATATATGATATTTAGGAGGTGGTTAGGTAAAGTTAGGTTAGGTCAGGTTATGCAGAAAATAAAATTCACAGTTTTTGGTAGGTTCTTGTGATTATGAACTTGTCCTAAAAATTTGTCTGGATGGTAATGCAGTCTAGGAATGAGGTACAGAGATAACAGGAAAGTACTGTATTGAATATTACATTATCTTCCTACTCCTACACAATTCTTCAACATGTAATTTGTATCTGCAAGCATGCGCAGTTCATGAAGTCACTCATTTTTGGCTTTGAGGGATGGAGTGGTAGGGAACAGCCCTCTGGAGGGGCAGCGTGGAAGTGAGTTGCGTTGAGTTTGAAAGTGTACCATAATGTCCGGTCACCGCAGCAGAGAGGGAGTGCTCGTCAGTTTGAGGGCTACCTCAATCTTGGACTCTTTGTGAGTATAATTTGTTGATTCGATTCATAACTCATCGCCGTATCTTATTTTACACATGAATAAACCCCGAAATCGTGAAAAAAGTTCAGGAACAAATTTAAGATAAACTGGATGAGATCCGAATGATAGGTATACATTCATCAGAAGAAATAATGGCGGTCATCCATTTCTTAAGGATTTATATAATCAACACAAAATAATTTCTGTAGTCTTGTTCATGTATGGAAAGGAATTGATGCTGAACTCACGTCTCATGTCTTCGCATTCCGGGATGTCACAAAATTCCCACTTCGCAGTTATGTTATCGATGATGCAAAATGGGGCTGCCCTTCTTAATGGATTCCTGCAATAGTTCTTGGCATTTGCAACCGATCCATCCACTGGGAACTGTTGAAATCATTCATCAGTTCAATAATTATGCTGGGCGATAAGAGTGTCCTAAAATGTTGTGCTCACGCGATCATCATATTTCAGCTTCGGGGTGGAATCGATTGTTTGATTTACCCATGATAAACACGGTTGTCCGGATGCGGAGACGTTGTATTTTACTCCATAATAATCAGTCCCATTCTTCGTTTTTCTGCATTCTCTGAATTCTGATTGCAGACGAAAGAACTATATGATAATTCGGTACAAGGGTTGAGATCGATTCGTTCAAAATCTCACCGACGCAACGAGGCAACGTTGTCAAGTCGGAAGACCAAACATTGTATCCTTGACAGGTGAGCGAAATGTTTTGAAATCTCTCCAAATCCGTGGGTTCTGCAGTTTGACTGAATCCGTTCTTGTATAGATCGTTGCTGTGAAGGGCACTCCACTTGACACAAGAGTAATTGCATTTTGTCCTTTTGCAAAAGGCTTCGTCGCATTGTTGTCTACTGACACTATTGCGTTTGTTCCAACGATTGGCAGCTGCGCGCATTCTGAAAACAATCAAATGATAATCCAAACTATTCAGAAATGCATTTGCATTTTTGAAAAAAAACGGCTGTCTTTTTTGAGATCATACACAGCAAATTTTTTCTCTAGAAATAGTTTAAAGCTTTTTTGAACTGGGCGCCAAAAAATTGTTGTCATATAATATACATAAGTACTATATATAGACTGTCCTATTCATCTCATCCACCAATGTCCATTGTTCTGTTTCTAGTTTAAAGAACTTCGTCCTGCACTATCAAAATTGGAGAAATAAAAAGCCGAATTTTCAGGATCAATAAATTCCCGATTTGTTTTTCTGGTCAGAAATTGAATCCTTAATGCTCAAAACTACGGGGAACTCTGTGAAATATTTTCGAAAAGCGCCTCGTGATGATGTGATAAGTATATAGACAGCAAAGAAAAATCGTCAACGAAGAAAACATTAAAAAAATTATTGATGAAAAAACAGTCGAATTCTGACAGCAGATGAGAGTCTTGAGTGAGAATGGATTTTTGACGGAATTCCTCCAGAATTCCTTCAAAGAATAATGTTCCAGAGGCGATTTTCTCTGCTTGGTCAATATTTCCATAGATTATTCCAGGTTCCGATTTTAATTAAAATTTTAATAGTATAGCTACAAAATTGCATCAAGGTCATGAATCAAGAAGAATCATTCCGGAAAATATTAACGTTTTTTTTTTTTTTTTACCGTCGGGCAGCAGAAGCATATTGATGTAATGAGGGACATCACAATAATTTGAAGCGTTCATGGTTCCATCCGGAATCAGTAGATTGGTCGAGTTCCAGAAATAGCACGTGGATTCCGTTTTGTTAAAATAGAATCCGACGCAATTTTTCGCAGGATTATTACATTGAGCTGCGCAATGAATAGTGGAAAAGCCTTTGTTTCTGGATGTAATCTTGAAACGACGCTCTGTTGTCTTGAACATGGTTGCATCAGATGCGTAGCTCGAAAGAAGCGCTAAAATTTTGAAAACTTGGACTAGTTTTCGAAACATTTTCTCGACCAACATTGTTCGGTCGACTGCGGAATGAGCTGCGATTCACCTGGATTTAAAAGGCCGTTGCAATCGATATTAAATCGTGCAAAAATCACAAAAGCTTGTGCAAAGTATACACGATGGATAAGCTGACCGCGGGTAATCACCAGCTGTAAATGTTCCAGCTTTCATGTCGAGGATTGTGAACAAACAATGGTCAAAAATGTGCTCAGGAAATTATTTGCATATGCAGGTTCCTTTTCCTTTATTTATATATTCAGAGTCACATCGAACATTGATTTCACGATAAGCATGCTTCCTATACCCGATTTCTGCATCAGTATGTGGCCAATGTTTTGAAGAATTTCCTTTAGGTCGGGATGCGAAATTATAATTTCAAAAGCACAATAGCGTCAAGGGGAGAAAAAGTATGAAAATATGAAAAGCCGTGTTCGCTCTCATCGTCAGGAGTAGGATCCCGCAATTTCGTGAAATGAGGCCGATCACAACTTGACGCATTTCTACTGGTTCCATTCGGAATCTGCGCATCGTCGTGACGTTCCAGCAGAAATCGCACATGGATTCCGTTTGGTTGAAATCAAAGCCAATTTCAGCAAACAGCGCACTCAGAACTTGAACAACTTTTTTTTTATAAGCTTTAAGCTATAATAACCAGCAGTTATTTGGTAAGCATCAGTTACCGTATAGATTTTTAAAAATGCTAAAATTTCAAATCCTTGGAACACCATGTATCCACAACTTTTAACGACTTCCATAGGCTGTGAATAGGGAATAAGTTGTCATTTTCTTCAATCCATGTGGCTCGTGACGAGATTGATGATAAGCCACGCAAAAATCACATAAAACGTGCGCAAACCAGACAGCAATAACTTGACAAAGTAATCGCAATGAAATGCTCCTGTTTTCAAGCTGCGCGCGGATTGTGAATACGGTAAATGCAGGTCATGAGGGTGATCAGGAAATTATTTGACTTTTTTTGCTTGATATTCTGAGAAAAACGAACCCCATATACATTTGGAATTCTCTTTGTCGACCGAAGCTGACGCGTGCTTTTCAAGTCACCATGGAAAATATATGATTACATCATTCTGAAGCTGGGGAGAAATTCGAATAATTTTACCAAAGCTATGTATGACCAAGGGAAAAAGCCTTCTATCATCCATCAAGGGGACATTGCTGGAAGGTCGTGGATCCAATCCGTTTGATTCTATTGTTTTAGAAGATTGAGAAAGGGAGACTAAAATCTAGATTATAGCCCACTCTGTTTTGGTATATTTCTCCTTGGTAACGGAGGTAACGGAGAAGATTGAACTCTGTGATTTCAAGATAGAACATGCTTGCATATGATATGTTCCTGATGATGGTCTGAGATCCAATCAGCACTGGTAAATAGTTGATTCCAAAGTTTGCAAAGGTTCACCGTGCGCGAATATTGAAATCACGGGAAAATACAAATTGCTCAGGATGAGAACATTCATGACCAAATTATTCATCTTCCGCTTTTGTGTATAGNCGAAAATCTGAAATTTTACCATCCGTTTGACATTAAAATTGTATTATCTTTTAATGTCTTATCGAATCCTTTTACCCGAACATCGCGGCAAATTTTCGACTAGCGGGGTCCAAACATCTCTTCCCTGGCAAGTCAAGGTGATATTTTGAAATCTCTCCAAATCCGTGGGTGCTGCAGTTTGACTAAACCCCAATTTGAATAAATCTGCACTGTGGAACACAGTCCATTTGACGCAGGAGTAATTTGCCTTTTGTCCTACTGCGAAAGGCCGTTCGGCGGTGTCCAACATTGACACACGCGCGTTTTCCCCAACATTCGGAAAATTTGCGCATTCTTTGCATGAATATGAAAACAATTTGTCAATCAATGTCATTATGGTTGATCTTAACGCGTAGATCGAACTTGAAAAGGTTTATCTCAAGACGCGGGGTAAATATATTCTTTACACTGTCGGGTTGAAACCCTAATTATATATACTCGAAGTATTTTTGCACGAACAATTTTTCTTCAATATTACGTTATAGACAATTTGCGTATATACAATAATTTCGCACATGTCATACTGATTCAGCAGATATTGTGATACGGACGTTTGGTCGAAAAGAAATTGTGAGAATTATATAAGCGGGAAATAATAAAGCTTCTTACCATTAGGGTTTAAAACCTGCTGCTGCACTTTTGCATAGTGAGCCAGACGATGAGATGTTGTCATGATGTTTCCTGCCACACCGGTGATTTCCGCACTGGAAGTGTCCCAGAAGTGACACCTGTTCTCCGTTTGATTGAAATAAAATCCGGCGCAGTTCAGCAATTCAGTATCACAGCGAACAGCGCATTCAATTGCCGTATTTGCCGGCAATGAAGAACTGATCACGTAGGAGCTGTTAGTTTCTTGGTACATGGTCGAGGAAACAAGGTCCAAGAATGATATGGAAACTACCAGCAGCAACCAGCACAACATTATTCCTGGTTTTGGGGCCAAATGTCCTGGCATTTTCGAATCTCCTGATGATGCCTTGAACGCAGTTGTGCTGCGAATGTTCTGATATGAAACGGACGAACGACACGACAGGCATCAGGTTCCGAACGGATTGCATTTTCATTTTCGGCGATTACTGCGCAAACATGCAATAAAGTGCTGCACATTATTTCACGCATACTGTGCATGCATAAAATGAACTTCTGATGATGGATTCATCTAGTCTTGATTTGCTTTTCTGATGGGAGCTAGACCATAAGAAACTGGAACGAGGGTAGATCCAAAAATTTTTGGGATTGAAAATTGACCGTCTTTTTATTTGACGAAGAAAAAAACTCCGTGTCTTATTTGCTTCATCTTGTTGTATTTGCATTAAAAAAGGCGACTTTATCCGATGATGGTGACGTAACTCATGATCTCAGTGATAACCCATGATGCGAGGAAGAGGGATGAGCTGCATTTTCGTGCGGG